TGTCTGTGACGGTCCACGTCTTCGTATAGCCCCCATATAGCAGTACCTCCCCATATTTTGTATTTTGATGATTTTATCGACATTATCCACCCGACTTCTTTCAAATTTGGCATTTGATATTTGTAATGAATACTACAGCCTATGACAGAAAATTTTCTGTGAAGGTCCACGTCTTCGTACCAACCCACCCAACCCCTACACATAACGGCACCTCCCGATATTTCATATTTTGATGATTTTTGCGACATGATCCACTGGAATTGCTTCAAATATGGTATTTGAAGTTCGTACTGAATACTGCAGCCTATGGCAGCCTATGCAAGTTCAGGGTTTTGTATAGCCCCATATAATAGTACCTCCCTGTATTCGGTATTTTGATGATCCAGGTCTACGTCGTCGTATAGACCATAATATAACGGCTGCATTCGGTATTTTTAAAGATTTTAACAGAATTATTAACTGATTTTATTTATTTATTTATTGTATTGTTTTATTATTGCCAAATTCGTTCCAAGTGATGGAGGGTGATCAAAGTTCGGCCCGTCCGAACTTATAGCTTTTTCAGTTTTTTTTTTTTTTCAAAAAAAGGTTAAAGTTGTTTAAAATATTAAACCTTAAAAATCTTAAAATTTAAGACGATGTATGAAGTTGTGTTTAAAACAATTGTGAATTTTGAGCACTAAAAAGGCCTAACTGAAACTGTTGGAACGAAGCTAAATTTTTAAGATGGAATATTCACTACCTGGTAAAATTGTATTTCAAGCTTTCGTTAACTTTATAATATTGCCATTAAAAATAATTGTCGTACAATGAATAAACTCAGTATATGTCTTGTGCTGTGGAGTATCCTACCCTTTTTTGCCTATTGTCTGTTTACCTTCTGCCTGTCTACCTTTAATGTTTTATCTCTTTAAGACAAATTTTCCCATCCACTGTAGGTTGCATGAAGGAATTCAAACAATCTTAAAGTTTACTTACTAGACACTAAAAAAATATTTCGTTTCTTTTTTTCCTTTCTTTAAACATGACACTTCGGAGCAAAGGCCCAAAAGAATCCAAGAAAACAAGAATTGAAAAAAATGTTCAAAACAAATCATTGATAATTAACTTTTGTCCAGACGCAACCAACAAAAAGCTCTCAACTGATGACCGACCACAAGCAACCCCAAAACAAAGAGGACAAAACAAGGTGCCAGTGATTTGTGTCGTCTTTGGAATTATGACATTAAAGAGGCAAATTAACAAATATTTATCAAGCAAATAAACGCACACACACGCCTAGATGGACACAAGATTTTCCAACGATAGGCATTGTGGCAAAAGGACGATAGCCTTTAGGTCAACAAAGATGTTTTCCTTTAAGGCCTACGAACTGACAAATGGTCAAAAGGATTATCACATATTTCGTTTTTTCTGTTTTCTAACCTTGGGGGCATTTATAAAAACCAAATACCGTGGGGGTTCTCCAATCATTTACAAAACGTTTCATAACGCCAGAGGACACAACGTGAAAAAGAGATTAAACAATCTGCTCGGCCAGTCAGTGAAGTAAAGTGACAATCTAACCAAAATGTTTTATACCAAGGACTTTGAATATTTAAAACCCAAAGCATTGAAAAAATCTTCACATCTACAAACATTTGAAAATGACAACAAAAGAAACATATTTTCACGTTTCAAATCAACATCAAAGACTGCAAAGCCAACCAGTGAAGAAATTACCTTGGGCTCCATATTAATGTCATACGTTCGAGAATATTGTGATAACTCATCGTTGCATGGCTTCCGATATTTAACACATCCCGAGTTGAAATGTTATGAAAAGTAAGAATTTTAAAGGGTATAACTTTAAAAATGCGTTTAAATTTAAGCATCTTAATATGTGTATCAAAATTTGAACTGGATAACCTAAGATGAAAATTGTTAAAAACAAATACAAATTACATACAAGAGAGGGGACATCATATGGCTATGGAGGAAATGTTGGGAGTGATAAAAAAAAATTAATTTTCTATGTGAAATGTACGAACATGCCAAAAATGTATCTTTATCGGAGAGTGTCTGTGTATTGGGCGCCATCCCTGATTCTACATCGTATAAATTTAACGATTTATGTATCATTGTTTGGCAAAAAAAAAAAAATATAAATAAATAAATATCTCGAACTACAGGTGCCGTCTACTTCGTCAGCAAAAGTCAACCTTAACATTTTTTCCAACCGTTCGTGTTAGGCCTTTTTAGTACTCAAAATTCGCAATTTGTGTAGTTTGATAATAATTTTGTTAATCCAAACATCATGCATCGTTCTAAATTTTCAAAATTTTAAGGCCTTAGAAATTATTTAAGTTTTTTCTTTTTCGGAAAAAATAATAGGAACATATTTACCTTTTAAATAAAAAAATCTGTAATTTTGAATCCAGACACAATAGTCCAACGGATTGGTATCCGGAGATTTTGGTAGCCATTGTGCGCTGGAAATGAAGCGAGGAACCTCATTTTGTAACCATTCTTGGTTGGCGCGTGTTGAGTGCGATGGTGCTGAGTCCTGTTGGAATGTCCAAGGTTTGTGGCCAAAATGTTTGCCCACCCAAGGCTTTAATACACCCTCCACAATATTTTCGCGATAATATTCGGCATTTATTTTGATGGCTGTTATGGTGGCCCACACCATCACCATGGCTGGCGCTTGAATTCTGGTAGTCAAACGAATGTGCACATTTAGCAAGTAAACACGATCATTTTGTTTGTTTACAAACTGCTGGACAACGAATGTTTTCTCATCGAAGAAAACCAAATTCGGCAGTTTACCACTTTTGGCCAAGCGAAGCAACCCTTTAGCTCTTTTGAGTCTATTTTCTTTCTGTTGAGGTGTAAGTTCTTGCACTTTTTGGAATTTCAATGTTTTACCCCGAGCTCACTATTCAATATTTGCCAAATGGAATGTTCAGCGATATGTTCAGCACTCGAGCCATTTTTCGGCCAATGCGACGCGGGTTTCGATCAAGTCGCTTTTTTTACTTTTCGAACCATTTCTGCTGATGTTGCTTCTTCCGTCCACTTCCTTGACGTCGGGCTACGCTACCAGTATCACGGTAACGAGCGATGATACGAGACACAAAAGATTTATTCACATTTAAATGCTGGAGTGCTCTAACGATAGCCACATTTGGGTTTCCAGCCAAATGTAATGAAATCACACGTTTGAATTCTATCACGAATAACATTTTCCTGGAAAATTCTCACAAAAATGATTTTGTACGCTTGTAAACAATATAATGAGCTGTCACTGGAATAATTTTAACAGCTGTCGGACGAGTGGCATAGTAATGACAGCAGTCTGAAGTTAGTTGTAGTGTTTTCATCTCACCCTGTACATTTCTCCAACGTTAGCTCCAACTGTGATCTAAAATTAGTACCATTTTCAAAACCACCACCAGATTTCAACACCATATACCAACAGAGAGCTGAACCAACTTTATTACTTTTCTTTCAAATATAGGACGCACTTCCATGCCATAATCCACAAAATTAAATGTCAGAATTTTATATCTACCATTATCTTCAACAAGTACCAAATTTAGTACCAATCAGTACTTTTCGTACAATCATAGTACACATTTTCAACAGCACGTCCATATCTTAACCAAAGACAACAGCAGTGATATCAATATGAAATTTCATGATTTCAGCTTGAAGCCTTTACCCAATGCACAATTTAGTACCACTAAGTACTTTTCTAAAAATTATGGTACACATTTCTAATCCAAGATACCAACAGAGACGTCAATGTCTAATATGAAGATTTCTGCTCCATCCCTCCACCCAATACCAGATTTAGTGGCATTTAGTAATGTGCGTAAAAATATAGGACTCATTTCCAAACCACTGGCAAATCTCAAACACAGATACCATCAGTAATCTAAATATCAAATTTCAGAATTTTATCTCTATCCCTTAAGCCAATATTAGATTTAGTACTACTTTTCGTACAATTATAGTTCACATTTTCGAAACCACCTCCATATGTCCAGGCCACACAAGAACAGCAACCTTAATACCAAATTTCGGATTTCAAGCACTATCTGATCACCCGTTACAAAATTGTACCAGATATAGTACTATTTAGTACTTTTTGTGCACTTGTAGTACACATTTCCAAAACCACCCACTTATCACAAACCTACCATCAACAGGGACCCCAATTAGACAATTTAAAATTTCAGTTTCATCCGTTTAACTTAAACCTAACTGTTCCAAATTTAGTAACATTTAGTACAGTTGACACACGTTGTACACATTTCCAAAGCCACCATATGATATTGAACATACTTTCCAACCTTGATTCTCATACCAAAATTTTAAGCTCTATCCCTTCACATAATACCAAATGGTAGCATATTGGAAGTTTAGTATCATTTTATAACCTTTCGCAACCTGCACTTCATCAGTGACTCTCATTTCAAATTGCTGAATCCCAGCACCATCGGATAACCAAACTTACAATTTGCACCAAATTTAGTACCATTTATACATAATTTAGTACCATAAATACAAATTTTCATAATAACCTACATCATATAATCCGATAGAAATCTTATTTACCAACTTCTTATTTACCAATATCTGAGTCCAATAAAGCAACATTATTTCCAAATTTTAACATTCCAGCTCTATCTGTTAAACCAAATCGATATTGTAACAAATTTAGTACCATTTAGTACACATAAGTACAAAAATTCGGAATCTTCCTTCATGTCCCAATCCTACACTCTGCAAGCAATGCTAATTTATAATTTCAGCTCTATCCGTCCCTCCAATTCGAATTTTCCAACAATCCAGCCTTATCTGACACATCCGGACTTAGAGTGATCCACACCCAAAAATTTCAAAATTCTGGGCGTTGATTTCGTCTGGACGTTGATGAACCGTTAAGTCAGTCAATTACTTTACTCATTTATAAATAAATTTGTAGCCAATAAAATTCCTTTACATTTTTGCAGAATAATTTGGTTACTTATAATTATAACAACAACAATTGCCTGCTGTTGTGTTTATGTCGACCTCTCGGAATTGTATTACAATCAACGTATTCAAACCACCGTGGAAGACTCGGTACATCCTCTCTTCATGGTTGCATTTCCCTCAATTGGTTTATGTCTTCCATATCGCATCGACTGGCAACGCTTGCAAAATGAAGCTGTTAAAGAATTTCTACCCTCAAATGCCACCGCTGAAACAATACAAACATTTTATGCATTCTTCGAAATTTTAGGCTTTTTGAAATTTTCCGATCTTGGCCGCTTGAAATCATTATTTACTCGAAATTCCAATGTCAATCTCACGCTCATAGATAATTTGAATATAATCGATGTTATGAAATACCTGACGTTTTCGTGTAACGATGCATTTACGGGAGATTGTTTGTGGCGTAATAAACGTTACAATTGCTGTGATCTGTTTACGTTGGAACGTACAGAGTTGGGATATTGTTATACCTTTAATTCGCTGGTAAATCCAAGGGATAAAGCCAGGGCGGTAAGTATTGTAAATTGCAATGAATTTTGTTTGAAAATAATAGCAAAATTATTATCCTACAGGAAAAAAGCTCTTTTTATCCCTATCACAATTCCAAGGCCGGTGAAGGCACTGGATTAATGGCTCGAATGGTCATAGATGAGACAAGAATTTCGCCGAATTTTACACAGGTTTTGGGTGTTCATGTGAGTATCGTAGAAAAATAATTATCTTAAAATATTTGAAAAGTATTATGCTTCACTTTCTTTAGATCATGATTAAAAAGTCAGAACAATGGCATGCAGATGCCAAATATGCCAATCACAATACCTATACCAAGGTGGCCATTTCTACGCAAATAACTGAGACAACAGATCGGATAAAGATAATTAAACCAGATGTAAGGCGCTGTATTTTTGAGGTAAATTAAAATATATTTTTAGGATTTTTTTTTAAATTTTAAATAAAAATGAAAATAGTGGAATTCATCATTTGCAGAATGAATTAAAATTATGTTAACCTGGTTTATTTTTTTCACGGCAGGATGAATCTTCATCCAATAAACACATGAAAATACCTGGACTCAGATATTGGATGGGCAATTGCCGGGTCCGCTGCCATCAGGAATGTGTTCTCAAGTATTGTAAATGTAATTTGGATCTATTTTTTCCTATATCCGAAGCGGGTATGTTTGAATTGCAGATATGAAATCCCTTCAAAAAAAAAAAAAAAAAAAAAAAAAAAAAAAAAAACTTGAACCCTATTTCCCTAAAATTATACTGGAATGATATTTTTCAGTTTGTTCCTTAACTAAAGTCATTCCCATTACCAACGAGTATACATATTACCTTTTCACATTTTAATTTCAGATAATTTCACGGCATGTAAGCCATCAGATTTTAAGTGTATCTACGAATATTCAAGTAAGTAGGAACCATGTTATTTAAACATTAAAAAAATCGATCTTACTAGTTGCTGGAAGTTAAAAAAATGGAAATTGGGTTAAACTTCTTCAAACCTCAATGATTACAATTTATATTTAAGTTTGATTTGATAGCCCCCATATAACGTGACCTCCCAAGTCCACGTTCCCAACTAGCACTGTTTGGAGGTTGAGAAATTTTAAGAACCATATATATTTAAAAATACATGCCTAGGTTGAAATATTTCTCTATCCTTAAAATAGCCTAAACAGAAATCTTTATTGATTGGAAAATATGATCAAGACATATGGACCCTATTCCAAAACATTGACCCACATTTAAAATTTTTTGCGAAGAGATTTTTTGTCCCCTTAGAAACCAAGATTCCGAATAATGGCCAAATAATAATAATGACTAATAGAAACCTGACCTGAAGGGCTAATAGAAAATAGACCCTGAAAATAGCTGAAATTACATCTGATATGGGATACCATATGAGGGTTATACCAATACGTCGGACCCTGTTGATAATTTTTGAAAGGAAGATTCTTAACACAAATTTTTCAAAAGTTGCCGAATTTAACAAGAACACGTTAAGCCAATATCTGTCTTATGATTATTTTGCCTCATGATTATTCAAGCTTTCGACCCCTTATGTGGGGGTTCCGAAAGGGTTGGTGAATATTGATAAAAAGTCTGATATAAATATTATAAGGTGGCAGTTTTGGCCTATATCGACTACTTTTTCCACCTTTTATGAGATATGTAATCATTGGACCGATTGGACCACATAGTGGACCGAGGTATTCCACTTCATCTAATACTGATAAAAATATTGGGATGTACAAAATGAAAGAAAATCTAAACGTTTTTATACCCACCACCATATTTTCAAATTTTGGTATTTGAAGTTCGAAATGGATGCTACAGCCTCAGACAGAAAATTCACGTCTTCCTATAGCCCCCATATAACGGTACCTCCCGATATTCGGTACTTTGTTGATTTAAGCGACATTATACAACGGAATTCTTTTAAACTTGGTATTTGATGTTCGTAATGGATGCTACAGTCCATGACAGGAGATTGTCTGTGCAGGTGCACGTCTTCGTATAGCCCCCATATGTCGGTACCTCCCCATATTCGATACTTTATTGATTTCAGCGAAATTATTCACCGGAATTCTTTCAAACTTGGTACTTGATGTTCCTAATGGATGCTACAGCCTATGACAAGAGATTGTCTGTGCAGATCTACGTCTTCGTATAGCCCCCATATAACGGTGCCTCCCGATATTCGGTATTTTGATCATTTTAGCGAATTTATTCACAGGAATTGTTTCAAATTTGGTATTTGAAGTTCGTAATGGATACTACAGCCTAAGACAGAAAATAGCCGCCATATAACGGTACCTCCCGATATTTGATACTTTGTTGATTTAAGCGACATTATTCAACGGAATTCTTTAAAACTTGATATTTGATGTTGGTAATGGATGCTACAGCCTATGACAGGAGATTGTCTGTGCAGGTCCACGTCTTCGTATAGCCCCCATATGACGGTACCTCCCGATATTCGGTGTTTTGATGATTTTAGCGACATTATTCACCTTAATTGTTTCAAATTTGGTATTTTAAGTTCGTAACGGACACTACAGCCTAAGACAGAAAATTGTCTGTGCAGGTCCACGTCTTCGTATGGCCCCAATGTAAAGGTACCTCCATATATTCGGTATTTTGATGATTTTAGCTACATTATTCACCGATTTTTTTAAAGTTTCGCATTTGATTATTCTAATGGCTTATGACAAAAGTTGACTACGCTGGTCCACGTCGTCCTACGGACCCTAATATAACAGCTAGATTCGGTATTTTTAAAATTTTAACAGAATTTTTAACGGTTTTTATTTTTTGAAAATTTCCAAATTCGTTCCAAATGGTGGAGGGTATTCAAAGATCGGCCCGGTCGAACTTACAGCTTTTTTTTACTTCTTTGTTTTTTAATTTGAAATATTGGACTTAGAATCCCATTTCCACTAATTATGCTCTTATAATGCATGACAAAAAATATTTTTAAACAATTCACGGAAAAGGATATCCTCAGAAAAAGCTTTTTTAAAAAACACAACTCACCAAAACATGAATTATTGTTAAAAGAATAATAAAAATTCAATTCTTATAACTCGATCTCTTTTAGACATTTTTTCCAATGAACAACATCCCTATGAGAGGAAATATATTGATGATGTCTCCAACGACAGCATGGAATGTAGTTGCTATAATAACTGCCAACAAATATTATATGATGGCATTTTCAATAGAGCTGAGCTGGAGGGGTAAGTAGGCAATAATATCATATAACATATCCTTCATATTGTTTAAACCAATACCTTTTGCAGTGTAAATCCATCGGATAAACGCAAATATGTACAACTCGATATTTTTTCTCAGTCCTTGTATATTTTGAAATATCGAAAATCGATTCCATACACTTTTGTGGAACTTTTGGGTAATTATCACTTTTGGAATAAATCTATTAAATTTTAACTTTATTCATTTGTTTGTGTATTTGTCTCTTGCAGCAAACTTTGGCGGCATCATGGGTCTATTTTTGGGTGCATCTTTGATTAGTGCCGTTGAACTTGTCTATTATCTTACCATTGGCCTGTATGCTCGTCTAAATAAACAAATCCGACAATGGTTTGTGACAAAGTATAAGAAACCGAAAGTTGAAGGAACTCCTTCAGTTCAGTATAAAAATGTAAAAGCATCAAAGAGATTTCAAAATAATGCATACAAATATTGACGTGTTAAAATGTGTCATGTAGATCTTATAAATGATTGAATCTACGTTATAAAATAAAGATAGAATTAAGAAATAAATTGTATTCAGATTTAAAGGGGATATATTGCATTACATTTGGTTTGTTAAAATAAATACAATTTACACAAGCTAATGAGAGAATTTGTCGTTTAATTAAAAAAAAATACATCTATGTTTTAATGCAATCAACTTTATCTGACTACAACAAGGTAAAATTAATAAAATCATTTTTGAACAAAAATCTTAACCAGCATTCCACCTACACTTCAGATATAAGGCTAAATGACTTCATATCAGATATCAGACTCGAAAAGTACGAGTTTGACAAGAAGTTCACTCTCCACTCTTTTTTTACGGAGTAGCGTTGGCTAGTAGTTCTGCTTAAAAAATAAGAAAGAAAGTTGTACGCGAGATAGAGGGTTTTGCTCTAAGAATAAAAAAGATTGATAAAATTAACTTATATTCATTGATGGCACTGGAATTGGAGGGCAGCTCGTTTACAATTTCAGTGAAAAGTGTGACACAAATTATTAAAATACCAAATATCTAGAAGTACAGTCATATGAATGCTAGACCTACTTGGCCCATTTTCAGCACCAAAGTAAAATTTGTAAAAGTATAATTTAATCTACTTCATTATACCTTCTGTCATATGGCTAGAGAGAATATATATCATTTGATACGGCCAAAACGTACCTCATCGAAATAACGGTCTTAGACCCAAACACATTGTAGAACATTTGGAGTCAATGTAGGGATGTCTGTCTGTCCGATTTAATTAAAACCAGGTACATCATAACATTATTGTCAAACTTAGATCGATTACGGATATGGTAAACATCGCTCCACTTCATCTGGTATTTCCCTCACAAAAAGTCAAAATTTAAACAGAAAATAATTTACCTTAAAAAACAAGAAAGATTCATCTATATTTGTCCAATCTTTGCAAGAAAATGGACAATATCGGACCACTTCATCTTGTACCTCCCACCCGACGGGTCAAAACTTTAAATATTTAAAACTCATATAAATTTCGAAATTATATCTCAATATTTCAAGCCACACAAAATTTAGCATGTATATGGAATTTATCGGTGCACTCCTTCTACTACCTCCACTACGAAGGGGTCTAAGTGTAACAAAACGCCCACAAAATGCGAAAGTTGCATTCGATTGTAATCTGATCTCACAAATTCTAATATTTCAACAAGCCATATATCTTCATTTCACATGATAAATATGGATCCACTCCCTTTGGTACCTCCTCCACTAAAGTGTCAACATTGATTAACCACTAATCTCATAAAAAGCGAAATGAGCACCCGTTTATTTTCAAACTTGGCACATTCCAATATTTCTATTAACACAAGAACATTTATGAATATGGATTATGTCGGACCACTCCTCTTGGTACCTCCCTCACACAGGGTTAACATTTTGAATAACTATAACTTTCATAAAATGCGAAATAAATATCCGACTCTCCTCGAACTTCACTCATCCCAATATTTTTATTAACACAAAATCTGGAGTGAAGATGAAATATATCGGTCCACTCCTTCTGGTACCTCCCCCACAAAAGGGTTAAAATTCTGAATAACAAACCGCCCATAACAAACAAGATATGTGTGAAGATGATAGATATCGGCCTACACCTTTGGTAACTCTCCAACAAAGTATCACAACTTTAAATGCATATGTATATCCCTACTAACTTGAGCAACAAGTCGGAGATTATTTTCAAACTTGGTATATATAGAAAGTTAAAAATTTGATTTTAAATTATTCGCATAAAATTTGGAAATAAATGTTCGATTTTCTTTGCATTGTGCACATTCCACTATTTTATTAGTATTACATGAAGTGGAAATTGTCGGTTCACCTCAAGTACATTTTAACATTCTCTAAAAATTATCACATATTTAAGAACATGTGAAGTAATTATTCGGTATAGTCCGAATATGGCACTTTGTAATTTTTATATCAGAGAGGAGTTGGACATTGTTGGCCAACTCCTTCTGAACCACCTCCATAAAGGCTCAAAATTTTAAATTATAATAGCGGATGTCAAAATATATGCAAATGAACGAACAATAGCTGAGGGTATACATCGGTTGGCAAAACTGACTGATACTTTTAAACTTGTTTTCTTCTGATGCTAAAGTGATTTCCACAGAAGGATGGACGGAAATCTCTTAATCGGAAAATCTTAATCGGAGTTTAATATTTATATTTCGAGATAGACCATCCATACTAGGTGGAGGGTATAAAACGGTCAACCCTTTCTGGCATATCCACAACAAACGGTTAAAATTTTCAAAAGTAATAAATCACATCACTAAGGCGCACAAAAAATATAAAAACTATTTTTACCATTTCCCCGAATTATGCACATCCCAGTATTTCTTCTAAAATTAGACGCTGTGCAATAATGAGATAAATAGATTCCGATACCTACTAATTATTTAAAAAATATTTTTAAAATCCTGTGTTCCTTTACATACATGTCATAATTAAATAAAAAGGTGTAATCAAAAAGTGTAATGTAATCCTATACTCAAAATGTTGAAGGCCCGCGATTTTGAATTTCTTATTTTGCAGTGGTATTAAAAGATATCAAGACAAAATTATTATATATTACTTTTCTTACAAAAAAAAAAATATTTCTTACTTTCCTCAATGACAAATGCTAAACGAAAGCTTAGGAAACAGAGAAACAAAGATAAAGCAAAAAAGATAAAAACATCGATAATTAACTTTTACCCCTACGCAAGTACAAAACAATTAAAAGGCATGTCATTAACGATAAGAAAACGACCAAAAAGGAAGAGAGAGAAACAATGTGGGCAGTGATTTTTGTCCTCTGCTAAATTATGTCACTCAAGACGCAAATTAGCAAATATTTATCTAGTAAATACCCACGCACACACGCATAGACAGCACAAGATTTGAAAGGAAGGCAGAGGCCAACCGATGTGTAAACAAGACATACCTTTAAGGCCTAGCTTTGATAAATGGTTAAAAGGACTTTATTTATTTTTTCTTCTTATGGACATTTATAAAAAAAAGGAAACAATCATTTACAAAACGTTTCATAACCCCGAAGGACATAAAATCCATAGATAACACAATCTTCCGGCCAGTTAGTACCAGAACTACATACAAAGAATACAAACAACAATGTTGTATGCAAAAGATTTTGAATATTTTAAACCTAAAGCACTGCGAAAATCATATCTGCAAACATTTGAAAATAACAATGGAAAAAACAAAAAGTTTTTACGGCAACCTCGAATACAATCGGCATCCAACGCAATGGAATCAAAAAAAGAATCCAATACGCTGTGTTCAATTTTAAAACCTTATGTGCGAGAATATTGTGATACTTCATCGTTGCATGGTTTTCGATATTTAACCCATCCGGAGTTGAAATATTATGAAAAGTAAGAAATTAATAGAAACTATTGAAATTATTTTATGACTGAATACTCAGGAAATTTCGAGCAGTTACAATATCTATATAATATCAATAACAGGGCTAGGCAGATGTGTTTTGAAATAAAAAATATTGCAAGTGCCTCTATATGAACGTTGAGAAATATATATATATATTTTTTTTTTTTTTTGATTTTTGTATCTATTTTATATTTCTTGAAGAACCTTGATATGGATTTTTAAAAAAATATTTTTTGAATAGCCTTCGAATCTTGGATTATTTAAAAAATATTTATTGAATAGCCTTCGAGACGTGGTTTTTGAACAATATTTTTTGAATAGCCTTCGAGATGTGGATTTTTTAAAAAAGTATATTTTTTGAAAAACCTTCGAGACGTGGATTTTTAAAAAAAATATTTTTGAAGAGCCTTCGAGTCGTGGATTTTTTAAAGAATATTTTTTGAAAGGCCTTCGAAACGTGGATTTTTTAAAGAATATGTTTTTAAGAGCTTCCAGAAGTGGATTTTTTAAAGTATATTTTTTGAAGAGCCTTCGAGGAGTGGATTTTTTAAGGGATATGTTTTGAAAAGCCTTTGAGACGTGGATTTTTTAAAGAATATTTTTTGAAAAGGCCTTGAGACGTGGATTTTTTAAAGAATATTTTTGAAAAGGCCTTGAGACGTGGATTTTTTAAAGAATATTTTTGAACGGCCTTGGAGAGAAGGATTTTTTAAAGAACATTTTTGAACAGCCTTGGAGAGGAGGATTTTTTAAAAAATATTTTTGAGCAACCTTGGAGAGGAGGATTTTTTGAAGAATATTTTTTTCAATTAACATAAATAACTCAATGACTGACATGTCTAGAATCAACGTCCAGACGAAACGGCTGGAGATGCCAGTCTTCGTGAGTAGTCATGTCATAAGTTTGTTTTTTTTACAAATTCGTACTAACGTTTACTAAAAAATTAATACTTTGTATTGGATAAACGAAATGAGCAAGAATTCTGAAATTTGGAATGAGAGTCACTGATGAAGTGAAGGATAGATGCTGTGATGGAATGTAGGTGGTTTTTGGAAATTCGTACTAACAGAGTACGGAGAGTACTAAAATGTACTAAAAATATAAATTTGGAATGAGAGTCACTGATGGAGTTCAGGACAGATTTGCAAATTCGAATTTTTAGGATACGGAAAGTTCAAAAATGTTACCGAACTTAAAAAATGGTACCATTTGGTAGTACGTATTAGGTTGTTTACCTAATTGGTAAACAACGTATTAGGTTGTTTACCTAATTGGTAAACAACCTAATACGTACTACCAAATGGTACAATTTTTTAAGTTCGGTAATTGGTAAACAACGTATTAGGTTGTTTACCTAATTGGTAAACAACCTAATACGTACTACCAAATGGTACCATTTTTTAAGTTCGGTAACATTTTTGAACTTACCGTATCCTAAAAATTCGAATTTGCAAAAACCCTATGGCACATCTGTCCTGAACTCCATCAGTGACTCTCATTCCAAATTTATATTTTTAGTACATTTTAGTACTCTCCGTACTCTTTTAGTACGAATTTGCAAAAACCTCGAAATATCAAATTTAGTATTAGGTGGTTCCAAAAATGTGTACTAAATTGTACGAAAAGTGTTGAATGGTACTATATTTGGTATTGGGAGAAGGGATAAAAATCCGAAAATGATGGTATCTGTGTTTGAGATTTGACGGTGGTTTGGAAATGCGTCCTATGTTTGTGCGGACAGTACTAAATGGTAAAAATTTGGTATTGGGTGAAGAGATAGGGCTGGAATCCTCAAATTTGATATTGAGGTCTCTCTTGGTATCTGGAATTGAGATATGGGGATGGATTTGGAATCGTGTACTATAATTGTAAGAAAAGTACTTAATTGTACAAAATTTTATATTAGATGAAGGAATAGAGGAAAAATCCGGAAATTTGATATAAATTTCACTGTTGATGTCTTTAGTTAAGATATGTAGGTGCTTTTGGAAATGTGTAATTTTATGATTCCAAAAGTACTAAGTGGTACTAAATTTGGTAATGGGTGAAGTTATAGAGCTGGAATACCGACATTTGATATTGAGGTCCCTGTTGGAGTCTGTCTTGTACGAAAAGTACCAGATAAATAAAAAATATATTTATTACGATTACTGTTGGTGTCTATGATTGCAATACAAAACGGTTTTGCAATTTGTACTAAAATTACAAAAAAAGTACTAAATGTGGAATTGGGTGAGAGGATAGAAGTGAAATTCCCAAATTTGATATTGAAGTCATTGTTGCAGACATGAGGCCCCTGTATGGAATCTGGTGGTGTTGTTTCCAAGGCGAACTAAAATAGGTGGAGAGTACTAAATGGTACTAATATTGGAATACTTTTGGTGACTAGGATGGAGAGATATAGAATGCTTTGGATATGCGTGATAAATATTACCTATGGAGACGTTGAAATAGTTTTGGACTGAAAAATTGTATGTGGATTCATTGTACAATGGCTTTTACACTGTGAATTTCAAAATGAAAGGTTTTGAAGACTTTTTGGTGTAAAAGGTAAACATTTCGATATGAAAATTTAGTACGATATATGAAGTTTTGTTTAAAAGAAATAATGAAAAGATGTGCAGTTTGGGTAAGAATGAATCTAAAATTCTTAGGTGGACGATTTTGAATGGAAAAAAGTTTTGAGTCCAAAATTAGATATTTCCCAAACGATGTGTATGAAGTATGATATCTATTAAGATTCGCTTTTATTTCCCATACATATTTTTTTTATATTTTGTCTTTCCTTATATATTCCAGAATAATTTGGTTGCTGATAATAATCGCAACAACTGTTGCCTGTTGTGTTGTTTACTTCGACTTGTCGGAATTGTACTACAATCAACGTATTCAAACCACCGTGGAAGACTCAGTACATCCCCTCTTCATGATTGCATTTCCATCGATCGGTTTATGTCTACCATATCGCATCGATTGGCAACGCTTACAAAATGAAGCTGTTAAAGAATTTCTGCCGTCAAATGCAACCGCTGAAACCATACAAACATTTTATGCATTTTTTGACATCTTAGGAAGTTTAAAATTTTCAGATCTTGAACGGCTTGGACCATTGTTTAGTAACAATTCCCAGGTTAATCTCAGTCTCATCGACCATCTGAATATCAACAGCGTTATGAGGTATTTGACGTATTCGTGTAACGAAGCATTTGTCGGGCACTGTGTGTGGCGTAACAAACGTTACAATTGCTGTGATCTCTTTGCACTGGAGCGTACTGAGGTGGGCTTTTGTTTTGTCTTTAATTCCATGGTTAATCCAGACGATAAAGCCAAGGCGGTGGGTTTGATTTTAATGGAAAATATATATGTATTCTATGAGAATTTCTTGTTATTTTGTTTGCAGGAACGAAGCCCTTTCTATCCCTATCATAATTCCAAAGCTGGCGAAGGAACAGGACTGAAAGCCAGAATGGTCATTGATGAGAGTAGAATTCCACCTAGATGTCCGGGGTATTTATGTGGGTACAATTTGATAGCTTCCGAACGAACTATTCTTTGTTTTGATAGATAGTATTTATTAAAAATCTTCCTCTTCTCTTCTTTATTCTTTATAGGTCATGATTAAAAAACCCGATCAATGGAATGCCGATGTGAAATATGCCAATTATAATACATATACCAAATTGGCCATATCCACTCAGATAACTGAGACCAATGACCGGATTAAAGTAGTCAAACCCGAAGTCAGACGTTGTATTTTTGAGGTAAGTTTTGAGTTATGAGAAAACTAAATCTACCATTCAGTGTCACATTTTCCTTGTAAGAATTTTTTATCTTTTAAAGGGTTAGGTATATTTCCATATTTTCTATAAAATATCGGTTCAGTGACATTATGGAAATTAATGTCAAATTTCGGCCTTAGAAATGTTCTGGATATTTGCTTACTTTCATCATTTTTCTTTTTTAACCGGCAGGATGAATCCAATTCTGATGTGTACATGAAAATTCCCGGACTCAGATATTGGGTTGGCAATTGCCGTACCCGCTGTCATCAGCAATATGTTCTCAAGTATTGTAAATGCAATTTAGAATTATTTTTTCCAAGAACCAAAGTTGGTAAGTTTGTAGAGCGAAAAAAATTAAAACATTTTTTAATTATCAAAAGGTGCTAAAAATTGAGTCCAAATGGATAGAGAATTTTGATGGGATGTAAGATTGATGTAGCATTTTTGTTGAAAATCGATTTATAAACAAGTAAAAAGCAGTAAGTTCGACCGGGCCGATCTTTGATTACCCTCAATCATTTGGAACGAATTTGGAAATAAAATCCCTAAGAAAATTCTGTTAAAATTTTAGAAATACCGAATATAGCCGTTATATTTGTGTCTATACGACATTGACCTACATAGGCATTGTTTGTCACAAGTCATTACCATATTCAAATTCGAAACTAGAAATAAACGGTGAATAATGTACCTAAAATCAATCAAAATATCGTATATAGGGAGATACGGTTATATCGGAGCTGTGCGAAGACCTGGACCAGCATAGACAATTTTCTGTCATAGGCTGTAGCATCCATTACGAACTTCAAATACGACGTCTCAAACAATTTCAGCGGGTATTGTACCTGAACTCGTCAAAATACCGAATATAGAGAGGTAATGTTATGTGGAGGCTATATGGAAACCTGGACCTACATGGCCCATTTACGAACTTAACCTGCCTACTGGAAAAATAATCATGTGTGCAAAATGTTAGCCTTATATCTCAATTCGTTCGAAATATAGCATGATTAAAACAGACAGACGGAAATCGCTAAATCGACTTAGAATTTCACGCTGATCAAGAATATATATACTTTGTTGGGTCTGAAAGTTAAAAGTTAAAATACCCTCCATAGTATGGTGGAGGGTATACAAATCGAATTACTAAATTTGGTACAATCTGGTATTATGTGAACGGGTAGAGGTACAATATAAGAATTGAATTGGGGAAATGTGATTTCAATTAGGAGGTTGTTGTAGTAACAGTGATAATGTACTTTGTTGTTTATAGACTGATTAATCCGGTCCTTCTTTGATGTCCAGGTTTAGGAATTCTGTTACCTTTATGGTCTATAGCCAGAAATCCTCAGGACGGAGTTGGGTAACCTTGGCTGGAATTGAACAGATGCAGCATATTGTGCCGGCCTGTATCACACGCTGGGCAGGCGTTCCGCACACCTTTGTCAATTCGTGCCCAATATGAATTGAGACGGCTGCACCATCCTGAACGTTGTTGGGCCAAAACTACCCTGGTTTGCCTAGGTAGTCGACGTTCTTTAGCTGCAATAGATGGGGGGTGGACTTTGAGGACGGCATTCATACTGTAATTGTTAACTACGTATGCGACTTGACCCGTTCTAGTGCCCTCTCTTATATCGCTGGACCTCTCTTTCTCTAGATCATGCAGATCCTTCCTTACATGCCTGGGTGTGGGAGTTCTGTCCACCATATGGTGGTTAGGATGACTCCCACGATATCACCCAAGTAGATACTGCAACGAAATCATATGATTATGCTGACGTAAAGGAAGAATCTTCGTCTCTTCATGTAAATGATCCACAGGATTCTTGAGCAGCCACCCTGTTGCAGTTTTCAGGGCGGCATTCTGGCAGGTCTGAATACTTTTCCACTGTGTTGCACTCGTATTCGCAGACCACGCTGGAGCCTCATAGCTAACCACTGACCGACCTATCGTTTTATAAGAGGTCAACAATGTTTCCTTATCCGCTCCCCAAGCGCAATGAGGACCTTGTTCCTACTTTTCAATTTATCACACATAGCTGTGGCTTGTGCGGATGACTTGAAGATCCTATCGAACGTGACGTTAGTGGTTGGAATTATGTGCCCCTCGACCTATACATTCAGCTGTGATCTCATCTCCGCAGTACATATGGTAAATCGTTTGGTCGTTGATTAAGTGTCGGGTATTCTCATATTCCTCGCATGGAAAAATGTGGCAAGCTCGGCGAGATAGCTGTTCACCCTGACACATATACAGGACACGACGCCATGATCGTACAGTCATCCACATATGTTATTATCTTGATGTCGTCTGGAGGCCGCGGGATTCCGGAAAGGTAGATATTAAACAGTTCCGAAGATATCACCCCACCTTGGGGAACTTCCTGTTTAACTCTACGGGGCTGAACGTCTTGTTGTCCACATAACAATAGGGGGTAGTTATCTCAATATCCAACTTTGACCGTATCAAAGGCCTTTGATAGATCAAGAGTCACCACTACTGTTTTATGGCAAGGCCTGTTCTGGTTGAGTCCTCGACTGAGACGTGTGGATATGGCGTGCAATACTGTTGTGGTACTCTGTAGTGGACGGTATTAGGGAGGAGTAAAGCGTCCAGAGTCTTTGCTACTGGCGTCAAAAGCGAAATTGGCTTGTATGATTCACTTTTTCTGGCATCCTTGCCTGGCTTCAGTAGCGGGACCACCCTGCCCATTTCCCAGGCTTCGGGAACTATGTGGGTGTCTAACGACTGTTTAAGGACTTTTGTTAGATATTCAACTACCGGTGTATCCAGTTGCTTAAACATTACCATTGTATTCCGTCTGGGCCCAACGCTTTAGATGACATTCGCAAACACCACCCATCGTAAATTGTGAAGGTACATCCTCGACGGGAAGAGCTCTTATGCGACTCTTCGCCTCAATCTCAAGGTCTCGATAAATTGGCGGTTAAAATGGCCAGTGTACCTCTTCGGATCAGTCACCGTTACGTCTTTAAATGTGACTGCTGGTCAATGGTTAAATCTGGCGAAATGTGACACTCTCCTCTTATTCGGGTGGGGGCATCCTTGTTTACCGTGCAAAATGTGGAGCGATCAATCTGCTCTGCCAATGCTGATCCCCTCTGGTCATTACCTAGGAAGAAATGCAACAACTCATGAAATCCCCTAGTACCAGGCGGTTATTGGCTTCCAAAAGCGGGCTTAGATTAGGCAAGTAATGCGGTTCACAGCTATTAACCGGCGGGATGTACACCTCTACCTCGGCAGTTCCACACTTGACTGCTACTCCCATACATTCCATGGGTCACTAGAGACTAGCTCAAGCGAGATAGGTCTGCATTGAACAGAATGGTGTAACAGGAACCCTAATCCCATTCACTTCTGGTGCGATCCTTCCTCAATTCGTTGTAACCATTGCAACGTTGTAAGCTACAACTTTCATTTAGCTTGGTTTCCTGCACTGCTGCGATCAAGATATTCCTCCGGTTCATAAAATTCACTATCTCATCTATTTTACCTCGGAGTCCGTTGCAATTGATTTGCGAGAACGACACGCTGTCCGGAATTTGAACAGCAACGTGTGGCGTTAGGTGCTATGGTAAAGGTTGCTGTTCTGGAGACTGCGGGTGAGTTCCACACTCCGACCTCGGAACAATTTCTAAATTGCACACATTCTCCGCATCCATTACATCGCACCGAGACTGATCTGTGGTGGAAGATGTTTTGGCAAACCGTACAGGACCATTTGCGGCGTTTTCCTCAATCCCGGCACGGACCAAACGAATCCGAAAAAGCATTCCGGGATGTACTGCTCCCAATACAGAAAAATAAACAAACACGAACATATCTACACTGGGTTGGCAGCCTCTGGACCTAATTGAAGGGTTGCTGTTTCGGGTCAATCCAGTGTCGTAGAACCCTCTGCCGCGGGATTTAAATTAGGAGGTGGTTTTGGAGTATGCACTATATGTTAGAACTGCACTATGTGTATGGTAATGGGTACTAAAATCTGAAACAATTCAGGTTTGGGTGCATGTATGGAATTGGAATATCGAAATTTTCTGTACATATAGTAATACAGATTTAGTAATATAATGCATGTTTAGTACTCTCACAACTTTTCCCAATTATTTTATTTCAGATAATTTTACCAGGTGTAAACCATCCGATTTTAAGTGCATTTACGATCATTCACGTAAGTTATTAATTTGTGGTAAGTTTGTTTTGACCATTACATTTTTTACATTCATCAACAATTTGGAGGAGGCTTCATTTGAAATAAAGAATTGAATTCCTACATTTCTATAACATTCTTAGATATTTTTGCGGAAGAACAACATGCATTCGAAAAACAATTCATTGATGATGTTGCTAACGACAGCATGACATGCAGCTGTTTCAATAGCTGTAGGCAAATTTTATATGATGGATTTTTCAGTCGAGCTGAACTGGAGGGGTAAGAAAAAACTTCCTGTATAAAGAACTAGCTAACATAAAATTTTAAATAACTCTTTGTTTCAGAATTGATCCAGCGGATAAAAATAAATATGTACAGCTGGATATTTTCTCGCAATCATCATACATACTAAAATATCGCAAATCAATACGTTTCACATTTGTTGAGTTAGTGGGTAATTTTTTTCATCGCATTTTATAAATTTAATCCATTGAGTTTGGATATTTTATTGCCCTGTCTTTTTGTGTATCCTGTTTAGCAAACTTTGGCGGCATCATGGGTCTCTTTTTGGGTGCATCTTTGTTGAGTGCCGTTGAACTTGTCTATTACTTTACCATTGGCCTGTATGTTCGTCTGCACAAACAGATTCGTGAACTGTTTGTGACACGCCACAAGAAACCGAAAGTTCAAAGAACTCGTATCCAGCACAAAAATGTGAAAACATCAAAGAAAAGACAAAATAGCCCATACAAATATTGACATCTCAGTTCATGAATGCGCGGTATTAAATGTGAGAAGTTATAATAAAATGTTTCATGGATTAAATATTTAAAAAATGTTGTTTTAATTAAAACTAATGAAAAATTAAAAATATATATATAAAATATATAAACTTGAAAACAATAATGATCAAGTTTTAATCATAAAATTTAATAATTGTGTATAATTGGAAACATATTGAAGCAAATGGAACAAGTGAAAATTTCCTATCAATTTCTATCAAAAAATAATAATAATAATAATAAGTCCTAACAAAAATTATTATAGTTTGGACAAAACCTAATAGTAGGGCGAAAAAATGGAAATTGAACAAAGAAAATAATATAGATTTTTTTATCTCCCATAAATTGGCTCAGTCGAACTTTCCATACCCTTCTCCATGAAAACAATTAAATGATTTAAAAATCGGTTTCCTAAAAATTCCCAAAAATTAGAGATAACGGTACATGGTCGTATGGTGGCTCATTTAGTTTGTTCTTCACCTCTATATGGGAAAATTACTAAACAAACTTTTATGAAGTTCAAATTGGGAGGTGATAGAAATTTTACCATTTTTTTAGGAAATTGTTGCTGAAACATTGAAAATACTGTGAGATATTGATTATTTCCAAACAAAAAATAAACAAAAAAAATATTTAATAGCTAAAACAAGTAAAAAACATTAAGTTCGGCCGGGCCAAACTTTTAATACCCTCCACCTTAGGGTAAAAGAAACATTAGAAGAAATGTGACAAAAACCATAAAATTACCGAATATCGGAAGGTACCGTTATATGGGGGCTATACCAAAACGCGCACCTATAATTACAATGTTTCGCTACACGAATTAGGACCCATTATGACCCACAAATACCAATTTTTAGACAAATCAGTGAAAAAATGTGGCAAAAACCATCAAAATACCGAATATCGGGAGGTACCGTTATATGAGGGCTATACCAAATCATGGACCCATACATGCAATGTTTCGCCACCGGAGCTGGAACCCATTATGACACACAAATACCAATTTTTAGACAAATCAGTGAAAAATGTGACAAAAAAACTAAAATACCGAATATCGGGAGGTACCTTTATATGGGGCTATACAACAACGTGGACCTATACATGCAATGTTTTGCCACACGCTCAGGGACCCGTTATGACCTACAAATACCAATTTCCAGACAAATCCGTGAAAAAATGTGGCATAAATCATCAAAATACCGAATATCGGAAGGTACCGTTATATGGGGGCTATACCAAAACGCGCACCTATAATTACAATGTTTCGCTACACGAATTAGGACCCATTATGACCCACAAATACCAATTTTTAGACAAATCAGTGAAAAAATGTGGCAAAAACCATCAAAATACCGAATATCGGGAGGTACCGTTATATGAGGGCTATACCAAATCATGGACCCATACATGCAATGTTTCGCCACCGGAGCTGGAACCCATTATGACACACAAATACCAATTTTTAGACAAATCCGTGAAAAAATGTGGCAAAAAAACAAAAATACCGAATATCGGGAGGTACCTTTATATGGGGGCTATACAACAACGTGGACCTATACATGCAATGTTTTGCCACACGCTCAAGGACCCGTTATGACCTACAAATACCAATTTCCAGACAAATCCGTGAAAAAATGTGGCATAAATCATCAAAATACCGAATATCGGGAGGTACCATTATATGGGGACTATACCAGAACGTGGACCGATATTTCTCATTTTCAATACCAACCATCCTAGACACAATGCAAATAGCTCTGCTAAATTTTGGCGCTCTACGTCAAATAATGTGGGCTGTATCGTGATTTCAACAGACAGACAGACAGACGGACAGACAGACGGACATCGTTAAATCGACTTAGAATTTTAAGGATGTTACAAACGGAATGACAAAGTTAATATACCCTCCTTTCCAAGGTGGAGGGTATAAAAATAAACAAATTGAAAAGTATTTCTTTGCCTACAGGAATATGGCCTCACCCAATGTTCGATTATTTACATATATTTTGACTCCAGTACTGATTATTCAAATTGTTGACCCTCTTTCGAGAAGGTTCCGAAGGAATGGGCCAATGTTTTTCATTTCGCATCGGGCCAAAAAAATATAATATAAATATTGCAACGTGTCAGGTTTGGACAGTTTTGTTTACTTCCTTTGTTTTGTTTACTTCACTTTATATGAAATATTTGTAGAAAATTTAAAATGCGCATGAGGTGGCAGATATACTCGACATTTTCATACTTAATCTAATACAGATACATATATTGCTATGGACAAAATTATTAAATCGAACATTTAAATAAAAGTTTTATGCGAAATCATAAATTCCATATTAATTTCAGGTTTCTCGTTGAGAGAAATATTCAAATATAGCAAATTGTAAAGAATCACCGTTTCGGAAGTTATAACAGATAAAAGTATTGACATTTTGTGACCCTTTTTGGGTGAGGTACCAGAAGGGAAACGCAGATATATATCATCTTCACAAAAGATCTTTTGTTACCAAAAATGTTTGTATGTATGAAATTTGAAGAGTGTTGGACGCTTATTATAATTTCTTTGAGCGTTTTGGGTTTTTTTTTTTCAAATTTTCAACACTATTTGAGAGAGGAACCAAAAGAAATGGCCCTATATCTACCATCGTTATAACAGTTGTTGTATTGATGGCTACCAAGTCTGAATGGAATCGGATTCTTTTTTCGGATTTTGTAATCGTTTTGTATATTCAAAATTTTGAACCCTTGTTGGAGAGGTACCTGTAGGAGTGGACCGACACATTTCATTTTCACACCAGACCTTGGGTTAGTAAAAATATCGTTATGTGTGTAATTTAGAGACAATCGTACTAACAATTTATAAGAGTTATAATTACTGGGTGAAATGAAAAAACTGCAATCAACTTCAGACTGCTGTCATTTCTTAGCCATTCGTCCGATTATTCCAGTGATAGCTCATTATATTGTTTACCAGCGTACAAAAGCTTTTTTTGTGAGAATTTTCCATAAAAAAAGTTATTCGTGATGGAATTCAAGCGTAATAGTGTGGTTTCTTTATATTTGACTGGAAAACGACAAGTGGTTATCGTAAGAGCACTCCGGAATTTAAATGCGACTGAATCTACTGTCTCGTACCATCGTAACCCGCGTCGCAGTGGCCGAAAAATGACTCGTGAGCTGAACATATCGCAATATTCCATTCGGCAAATATTGAAAAATAAGCTCGGGATAAAGTCCAAAAAGTGCAAGAACTTACATCGCAACAGAAAGAAAATAGACTCCAAAAAACTAAAGAGTTGCTTCGTTTGGCCGAAAGTGGTGAGCTGCCGAATTTGGGTTTCTCCGATAAGAAAACATTCATTGTCCAGCAGTTTGTAAAGGAACAAAATGATCGTGTTTACTTGCCAAAAAGGTCAGCTGAAAATGTGCACCTTCTGTTGGCCACCAGAACTCAAGTGACGGCCATGGTGATGGTGTTGGCCGCCATAACAGCCAATGGTCGCTCTCCGCTCGTATTAATCGACCGTGGCATCAAAATAAATGACGAATACTGTCGCGACAATGTTCTGGAGGGTGTACTAAAGCCTTGGGCACGCAAACATTTTGACCGCTAACCTTGAACATTCCAACAGGACTCAGCACCATCGCACTCAGCACGCGCCACCCAAGAATGGTTACAAAATGAGGTTCCATGCTTTATTTTCAGCGCACAATGGCCACCAAAATCTCCGGATACCAATCCATTGGACTATCTTGTCTGAATTATTTTAGAAGGTTGGCACTAACAAATATCAATGGCTTCGCCCGGAATGACCCGAAATACAATACAGAGCAACATTCGGCAGCGTGTGACGGTTTCATTGGCCGTTTGAAGGCCGTAATTCGTGCCAAAGGTGACCAATTCGAAGAAATCTAAACTTATTCTAAAATGTGATACTATTTCCGACTCGTTTTGCTTTTATTTAATAAAATATGTCCCATCATCCCAAACAATATGTCCCATCTCTACAGCAGATCTTTTGTTAGTAGAAATAATGGAATGCATGAAATATGAAGAGAACCGGATGCTTATTTCGGATTTAATGATAGTTTTGGTTATTCAAAACTTTGCCCCTTTGTGGAGGAGGTCCCAAAAGGGATGGAACGATCTCTACCATCTTTATAAAAAATCTTTTGTTGGTGGAAATATTGAGATGTCTCAAGCCTCAAATGGAATCGGATCTAAATTTCGCATTTTAAGAGCTTCCTGGGTATTCAAAATTTCACACCAGACCTTGGATTAATAAAAATATAGGGAGGTGTATAATTTGAGGACAATCAAATCATATATTATAAGAGTTATAATTTTCACTCTTTGTATGGGAGGTACATGATGGAGTTGACCGATATTATCCATTTTCGCACCTGTTAGCACTGATAAAAATTTTGAGATTTGAACAAAATCAAATGACCCTTTGTCGTTCTATGAAGTAAATTATTTTCTTTGACAATTTTTACCTTTTGTGGGGGGGGAGGTACCAGAAGGAAGGGTCCGATATTGTCCCTCACCGAACTCCATCGAAGTTTCATAATAATATTACGATGTACCAAGTTCCAACCAAATCGGATACTCCTTTCGAGAGTTATGGTACGTACCACTTCCTGAAACGGATTCGGTCCTAAGAGGTCTACGGTCTAAAACTATTATTTCGATGAAGCACGTTTTGACAGAATCAAATGAAATGTGGCTTCTGTAGTCATATGGCTGAGTGTATAATTAAAATAATAAAAAAAATGGGAATTGAACCTAGAAAATAATCAAGAATTACATTCCTTGCTTCAAGTTTCTTCAGTCTAAATTTTTATACCTTCTTCCAGAAACTGTTTACCTCCAAACATTTAGAAATAATGTCAAAAATATACAATGAAAAATTCAATATACCCCCATATTATAGTGGAAGGCATAACAAAAAGTTATCCCCTCAAATTTATTAATAACTTTATCATACAAAAACAAGAATAAAATTAAACCTTCCCTCCCATCTTCATTCCCCCCGACTTTCCTCAGAAGAAACTTCCTAATAATGTAATTATTGGATGCCCTTAGAAAAACCCACCACCACTAAAACAGACAACAATTCAAGCTGAACTTAAAAATTTCTTTTCAAACTAATGCCAGTAATTCCGCCAACCAACAACCATTGCTTCTAACCATAGAAATTTACAAAACTGCAATTATTTCTACATTAACGCGGAAAACTCTAGAAAGGATATTGAATTTCTTGTTGATGGTAACGAATGGCTTGCATTCCATTGCGTTCAGTAGCTGCTTGGAAGCCGTCTCAAACGAATCAACATGGTGTGGCATACAAATGTGAAAAACTCGAAAACGCCTCAAATGGAATCTCTGCTGACACCTAAAAAAATTAGCACCGAAAAACAACTAGAAGCGGAACAGCAGGAAGAGAAAACCCTAATGGATCTTTTGCGTTTATATTGGCAGCAATATTGTGAGAAATCAACCATACACGGAGTTCGTTATATTTATGATCCATCGCTGCGCAGCATTGAAAGGTGAGTGAGTGTGGAGAATTATCGAAGGTAAAGTGGTTTTGTTAAGTATATTTTTTTGGAAAAATTTAAAAATGTTATTATTGTTGTACATAATAGTCTATTATATGTATTTTATATTAACGTTTTAGAAAGAATGTGTTAAAGAATGAAATATCATACATTCACTATACCTCACAATAACTTAAATCGGGGGTATCATTATGTAAGGACTGTACAAAAATTCGAAAATGTTTCGTTATATTTGTTTCTACACAATAAGAACTCAAATTACCTACATTGGCAAAATTAAAGGCGAAAATGAGTAAAAAGTAAAAATAGATGAAATGGGGGCTTACATAGGATATCGAGATTTACAGGATGATATAGAAACAAGTAAGAAAATATTATGTTCGGCCGGGCCGAACTTTCAATACCCTCCACCTTAGGGTAAAGAAAACATTTTTATATAAAAGTAAGACCGTTGCCATAATGCAGTTAAATTTATCAAAAACCCATAAAGTGAGTGAGGCCGTTATATGGGGCCATAACGGGCACCTCTATAAGCAATTTTATACTTCAACGATTGTCATCTATCAAATTTGAAACAATTATGTGGGTAAATGTGACTATGATTATCAAAATACCGAATATCGGCGGGTATAGTTATATGTGCGCTTTAGGAAAACGTGGAACTAAATATTCAATGTTCTGCGAACGGGCTAGAACCCATTATGAAATGGAAATACCAATTTTTATCAAAATATTGAATATCGGGAGTTGCCGTTATATGGGGGCTATACTAAAAACGTTCTCCTATACATACAATATTTCACCACCGCACAGTGGTCGCTGCCATTGGCCAAAATTCAAAAAATGAAAATCAGATATTTATTGTCAAATGTGTACACATGAACTCTTAAGAGGTTAAGCTTTTTAGAAAACATAATAATCTTGGCTTCATTCTAACTGGACACTTCGAAAATAGCATCAAAAAAGAGAAAATGTAGTTAGTTGCTTTTTTCAGTGGGATCAGTAAAAAAAAGAGTAAAAATAGATCTGTATTACAAAATTAAATACATTTTAAAATGACAATTCTTGGCATAATTATTGAAAAGCAAGGTATTGACTTATTTTTAGTGCAGTAATTTATGTGTTTAGTAGTTGTGTATAATATAGACGATGTGAGTGTTCTGAGTTCCCTTTAAGATTAATTTTGAAAATAAAATTGGATTTCAGTTAAAGTTTTAATTGTTTTCCCCCCTGAATCCTCCAATGTGATTTTTTTCACGCCATTAGTAATGGTCCTAAGATTCTAGAAATGCTAATTTAACTTTCAGATTTTGTCAGATTTGTATGTTATGCCCAATATACTGAAGTGACTTCGCTCCAATTTTGTCAGTTCTATGGTGCTAGTAACATAGAATATGTTTTTGTTGTTTGGGATTGACAAGGATATAATTGAGGGGTGTTCAATAATGTTGCCTGCATTGTCTTCTGGGTATAATATTCATGTCCAAAAATTTAAGGCCTTTGCACTGGAAACCGCTAAAGAGTTAACAATGGCACTATCTTCCACCCGCAGCTAATAAAATTTTAATATATGCACTTGACATTATAAATTTGTCATTATATCGATTAGATAATTGTAGGAGGAGGCCGTGGAGTCTAGAAACAAAGATATAAAAAAGTTTCGACTAAATCATGCCCAAAAAAAATCTCGTGTTTCAACAAACAGAGATCTTATTAACCGTCTCCTTCTGAGCTCTGACCCTTTTATAACTGGACAGCGAACGTTACCAAACAAAAACCAGTAAAGAAAGTCTTAATGTCGGGCGGGGCCGACTCCATGATACCCTACACCACTTTGCATATTTAGTAGAGCGTCACATAACAAATAAAGGTTTTAATAGGGAATTTGTGAGAATAGTAATAATTAAAAGTCCAAAGGAACTGAATCGATTTCTACTAAATTTGTCGAGGCATTTACGCCTTTTCAATTCGGGCTTGTATTATCCATTTGGTGCACAATTAACTTGAAATCGGATAGATATATATGAGAGCTATATCTCAATTTGATTTGGGCTAATATTACACGTTTGGTGCACAAAAAAAAGCAACTCTGACGAAAATATATATTTGAGCCATATCCAAATATTAACCGATCTCGATAAAATTTAGAAAAGGTATTTCTGAGTTATATTTGATATATTTTCCCAAATATCGTTGTTACAGAGGGCATATTACGGCTGCGGAGGACAAAAATAACAAATCGGATGAACAATATATATGGAAGCTATATCTATATCTGAACCGATTTCGATCAAATTTGGCATACTTATTTTAAGGTTCAATCTCGTCGTACGTATATTCCACTATTTGGGCTGCTATTACAAGTTTGGTGCACAATATAAGGCAAATTGGATGAATATATATGGAAGCTATACCTAAATTTTGACTGTTTATCTCCAATTTTTATAAAAAATGCTTCTATTTTTGAAGGTACCTTTACAGGGGTACTCTACCTGAAGGCGGGCTGTTCCAAATAATTTTCAGTAATATTATTTTTTAACTCCTAAGAACGTAAAATGTTAAATAACAATACAATCTAGTGTAGAAATGTGACAAGAATTGGGCAAATAACCCTTATTCGGGAGGTACGTTGTAAGGGGACCATGACAAAACATGCATCGACCATATCCATTTTGTCACATTTTTTATTTTTATCCCATCAAGGTACCATAACCAAAGATTCGTATTGATATCTGCACTGAAAGTATTTTTGGCCGCTGTTCCCATACGACCTCGACCACTGTGCACCGGAGCTGGAACCCATTATGACCTACAAATACCAATTTTTAGAAAAATCCTCGAAAAATGTGGCAAAAATCATCAAAATACTGAATATCGGGAGGCACCGTTGTATGGGGTCTATACCAAAACTTGGACCTACACATATAATGTTTCGCCAACGGAGCTATAACCCATTAGGACCCACAAAAACCAATTTTTAGACAAATGCGCGAAGAAATGTGGCAAAAATTATCAAAATATCGAATATCGGGAGGTACCGTTGCATGGGGTGTATGCCAAAACGTGGACCTATACCTTCAATGCTTCGCCACACGAGCAAAAACCCATTATACCCTAAAAATACCAATTTTTAGACAAATCCGTTGAAATCATGTGGCGAAAATCATGAAAATACCGAATATCGGGAGGTACCGTTATATAGCTTATATTTCATTTTCAATACCAAACATCCTAGACCCGATATAAATTGTTCTGCCAAATTTTGAAGGTCTACGTCAAATAATGTGGGCCGTATCGTGTTTTCAACAGACAGATGGACAGAGAGACGGACATCGTTAAATCGACTTAGAATTTTGCGATTTTGAATATATATACCTTATGGGTTCTACGACGAATATTTAGGGATGTTACAAATGGAATGACAAAATTAATATACCCTCCATTCCAAGGTGGATGGTTTTTATACCATGCCTGCATACCTGCAACAAAGTCAAACGCCATAATTTTTACATTTTTTTTATTTTTATTGAATGAAAGCAAACAATGTCGGAAATAGCAGCAAATCTTAGAATAAGTTAAGATTTCTTCGAATTGTTCACCTTTGGCACGAATTATGGCCTTCAAATGGCCAATGTAACCGTCATACTCTGTCCGAATATTGCTCTGCGGTATTTTGGCCCATTCCCGGCGAAGCACTTGCATGAGGTGATCGACACTTTGGTATTTTTTAGTGCCAACCTTGCTTTCTAAAATACTCCAGACACAATAGTCCAACGGATTGGTGTCCGGAGATTTTTGTGGCCATTGTGCGCTGGAAATGAAGCGAGAAATCTCAGTTTGTAACCATTCTTGGTAGGCGCGTGCTGAGTGCGATGGTACTGAGTCCTTCTGAAATGTCCAAAGTCTGAATCCAAAATGTTTGCGTGCCCAAAACTTTAATATACCCTCCAGAATAGTTTCGCGATAATATTCGGCATTTATTCTGATGCCACGGTCGATTAATACGAGCGGACAGTGACCATCTGCTGTTATGGCGGCCCATACCATAACCATTGCCGGCGCTTGAGTTCTGGTGGCCAACCGAAGGTGAAGATTTTCAGCTGACCGCTTTGGGAAGTAAACACGATCATTTTGTTTGTTTACAAACTGCTGGACATACAACGGAGAAAAACAAATTCGGCAGTTTATCACTTTCACCAATTTGAGTCTATTTTCTTTCTGTTGCGGTGTAAGTTCTTGCACTTTTTGGAATTTCAATGGCTTTACCCCGAGCTCATTTTTCAATATTTGCCGAATGGAATATTGCGATATGTTTAGCTCACGAACCATTTTTCGGCCACTGCGACGCGGATTTCGATCAAGTCGCTTCTTTACTTTTCGATCCATTTCTGCTGATGTTGGTGTATTCTTCCGTCCACTTCCTTGACGTCGGGCTACGCTACCAGTATCACGGTAACGAGCGATGGTACGAGACACATTCAAATGCTGGACTGCTCTAACGATAGCCACTTGTGGTTTTCCAGCCAAATATAAAGAAATCACACTATCACGCTTGAATTCCATCACGAATAACTTTTTTTCTGGAAAATTCTCACCAAAATACTTTTGTACGCTTGAGCTTTCAGTCGAATAATTTTAACAACTGTCGGACGAGTGGCTTAGAAATGACAGCAGTCTGAAGTTGGTTGCAGTTTTTTCATCTCACCCTGTAATTTGAAAAGAATCGGACTCTTACATCACATTTTATAAGAGTTATAATTATTCAGAATTTTGAGCCTTTGTGTGGGGAGGAGGGTACTGACCTGGCACTATAGTAAATATAAGGATATGCAAAGTCGTAGCAAAATAGGCTTATCCTTTCTTTTTTTGGGCAGTAAAATATCCCATTTTTTTAAATTTCGACCATGTGTGGGGGAGGTACCAGAAGGAGTGGGCCGATACTGCATATCTCTGAACTCGACCTAAGTTTGATAATAATAATGCGATGTAAAATTGAAATGATAAAGGAGATACCATAGCGTCCATTTTAAGATCTTATTTTAATTTTTTTTAAATTTTTGTCACAGTGGCGTGCATACCTAGATCGGATCATTTTATTCCAAATGGCATTAAGTCCAAACTAATATATTGGACTCAGTTTACATATATCAAAGCTAATGGGACACATAAAATAATTGACTCCGCTTAACCACTGTACGCCACTTAACCTTTCATTTTATGACCCAATTAAATGACATTTTCAATATCCTTTCATCTTTGCTGCGCCTGACGATGGCAGGCTCATTTGGAGTGCCTTGGTTATAACCTGTGTAACCCTTACGTGTATTGCCTACGGCATGCTGGCAGAACGTTACTCGGCTCAGAAATTACAAACCGTTGTGGAAAATTCACAATATCCGGTATATCAGATACCATTTCCGGCCGTTGGTGTTTGTCCCAATAATCACATTAACTGGAATAGATTCGAAGCGGCAAAAGCAACATTTCTACCACCAAATGCCGATCACAATGTCGTTGAGGTATTTACCAGCTTCGTTGGCAGTATGGAATCGCTGGCGTTTGGTCAATTCGATAGTTTCGCCGAAATGGATGATGTTAATTTGGAATTGTTGGATGGCATTGATATCACGAATTTGACACAGTTCATGACCATACGTTGTGAGGATATTTTCGTTAAAGGTAATTGCTATTGGAGACGTGTCCCATTCGATTGTTGTTCCATGTTTGTGGTGGAGAAAACGGAACATGGCTATTGTTTTGTCTTCAACTCGATATTGTCGAAGGCATCGCAGCAGCTGAAGGTAGGACAAAAACTAAAACGCTTCAATAATTTCGAATGTAATTTTCTTTTGTTATTATTTTATTAAGGAAAAACATGGCGCCAAATTTTATCCCTTTCACAATTCAAAAGCTGGCCAGGGTTCTGGTTTGGGATTCCAAATAAAGATGGATAATTCCATGAAGAGAAATGAATCCAAACTGGATGATACCATAACGGTGAGTTTATGTAGCGTAGTACTTTTTTAAATTTGATTGATTTGCCTGTGTTCCTTTAGATTCTCATAAAACGCCCTGAAAAATTATCGAACAATGGTTACACAATTTCGGCTGGCACAGAAACATATGTCATTATTCGACCCGAAATCACTGAAAGCTCCAAGGATATACGACCATTGAAAAAGGAACAACGCAATTGCTTTTTTGAAGATGAAAATGCTCTGCAGAGCTACAATGTTTCGCCCGTAGTTGAACGAGACTTAATTTTGAATAATTGCGTAAACGTCTGTCACGAAGAACATTTGCGGAAATATTGTAACTGTACCCTGCCGCAGTTCTTTTTGAACACCGACGCATCAGGTGGGATTTTTTGGATTAATATTGTGAGTCACCAAAATGATTATATGATTTTAATTTTTTTAGTGGAAACATGTCGTGCCTCACAATTCCGCTGTTTGGCAAAGCATAATGGTGGGTTATATTATTATTTTTGTTTTGTTTAATTTTTATACCCTACACCACAAGGGGGTCAGGGTATTATGTCTTTGTGCATTTGTTTGTAACAGGCAAAAGGAAACGAGATAGATCCATAGTTCCTTTTTATGATCTGCATAGAATCACATTCTGAGTCGATTTATGCATGTCCGTCCGTCCGTCCGTCTGTCCATGTATTTTTGTAAACAAAGTACAGTTCGCATTTATTATCCGATTAAGATGAAATTTGGAAAATTTATTTTATTTGGCCCAAGGACGAACCCTATTGAAATTGGAGATAGTCGGTAAAAATTTAGATATAGCTCCCATATATATCTTCGTCCGATTTGGTTTTTATTGTGCACCAAACTTGAAATATCAGTCCGAATAGTATGGAATTTTGCACCTACGATCAGATTGGACCTGAAAATAAGTATGCCAAATTTGATCGAAATCGGTTCAGAAATAGCTATAGCTCCCATATATATTGTTCATCCGATTTGTTATTTTTGTCCTCCGCAGCCGTAATATGCACTCTGTAACAACAATATTTGGGGAAATATATCAAATACAGCTCAGAAATACCTTTGCTAAATTTTATCGAGATCGGTTCAGATTTGGATATAGCTCTTATATATAACTTCGACCGATTTACCTTTGATTGTGCACCAAACGAGTAATATTTGCCCAAAGTGGATGATTGACACTTACAACCGAATTGAGTCTAGAAGCTAGTATGTCAAATTTGGTGAAGATCGGTTCAGACATAGCTATAGCTCCCAAATATTGTTCATCCGATTTGTTATAATTATTACCCACAACCGTAATATGCACTTCGTAACAACGATATTCAGGGAAATGTATTAAATACAGCACAGAAATATCATTGCTAAATTTTATCGAGATCGGTTCAGATTTGGATATAGCTCCCATATATATTTTTATCCGATTTCAAATTAATTGTGCACCAAATGGGCAATACAAGTCCGAATTTAAAATATACAAATGCTTCGGCATATTTAGTCCTTTGAACTTTAAATTATAAGCGTGAAAAAAGCGTGATAAAAAGATTCAGATAGAAAAAAGATTCAGATTCAATCAAAAAGATTCAGATAAAGCGTGATAAAAACTTTTAATTGTTATGCGCAGCTCTACTAAATTAGCAAAGTGGTGTAGGGTATCATGAAGTCGGTCCCGCCCGACTTTAAGACTTTCTATACTGTTTTTTATTAAAAACCGTATCTTTTAGACATTTTCAGTTACGACAAACGTTTGGAAGAAGATGCCTATTTCAGTTCAGCCAAACCAGGAATGACTTGCTCCTGCTTGATACCCTGCAACATTATCGAGTACTATACGTCTTTAACAACGCTGCCGTTAACTGCACCAACAAAGTATGTACCTTCCACCCTCCACCATATTATTGAGGATATATTTACTTTGTTTACTTTCCGTTTGTAACTCCTCGAAATACTTGTCAGACCTAACAAAGTATGTGTAAACATATATTCGGTATAATGATGATATTAGCGACATTATAGACCGAAATCGTTTCAAATGTCGAATGGTAGATTTTCCACGCCTTCGTATAGCCAATATATAACAGTACCTCCCAATAGTCGGCATTTTTATGATATTAGTGACATTATAGACTGAAATTGTTGAATGTGTACTACAGCCTATGACAAAAATTTGCATATTCAGGTCCACAACTTCGTATAGCCGCCTTATAACGATATCTCCCGATATTCCTTATTTTGTTGATTTTATTCAACAGAATTGTTTCAAATTTCCTATTTGAAGTTCGTAATGGATAGCAATGAATCAGGGTTTTTGCCAGATATTATACCGCTATTGAAAAGCATTAACCGCCTTTTGTTCATAGATGGTAATGTCCACCATGAATTGTGGCATTCCTTCCATTCCTCCACATTCTGTAAGGTAATTGAGAATGCCCCCACCCGAATAAAAGGAGAGTGTGACAGTTCACCAGATCAGACCATTTCTCGATACTCGTCTACATTGGCAGATCGCACGATTTTATAACATCTGAACGTCGCACTTCCCCGCAATAGGAAAGCTCACTGACCAAAACTAAGAAAGTTCAACAACCTTCGCTTCAGAGAACTCTCCAACCGGGTAACAAAAAAGATTTTCTGGGCTATCATCAAAACTGCAGTTGCCGAATTTCTCAGCAGAAACAGGGAGACAGCGAATAAACTCCGGCATACTAATCCCAGCGTCAGTTGACGTCAACAGGTTGGTACAGGAAACACAAACAGAAAAAGTGGCAAAATCTGAAGTGTTGCACCTTTGAAACCGATATAAGTAAACTGTAGGTAACGGTTAAATTATTCTCAAACCCTGGGAAAAAGGATACTAGGCCTATAGTCACTTTTAACGATGTAACGACGACTGATCCGAAAAAGTGCGCTGGCCATTTTAATCGCCAGTTTTTCGAGCACTCCTAGAGTAACAGGGCAAAGCGAGAGTACTGCGTCGTATAAGATCTCTACTCACTGAAGAGGTACCACCGCAATTTACAATGGGTGATGTTGCGAATGTCATCGAAAACGTTAAGTCAAGGATGTCAGCAAAGGTGAATAATACAGACCAATTTAACTTTTGTCGCCAGTTGGAAAGACGCTGGAGCAATTACTTCTCAGCATCAGAGGAAGTTATCCACTTGACAACCATCGACACGGTTTCCGTCCACAACACAGTACAACAATTGCATGGCACGCCATGTCCACACATATGTATCAGTCGAGGACTCAATCAGAACAGAGCGTGCCATAGACCAGTAGTGGTGGCTCTTGATTTATCATGCCTTGCTTTTCGAGGACGTTAAGAAAACTACCTTCCGAGTTTGAAACATTGGATATTCAATTATATGTGTGGCCGTCAGAGCACTTTGAACTCCGGAATAAGAAGTCTAAGCCTCGTAGAGTGAATCAGGGAGTTCCCCATGGTGGGGTTATATCTACGGAAATGTTTAATACCTTCTCAGAGCTCCGCTCCCTCCAGATGGCATTGAGATAGTAACCTATGCGGATGACTCTACGATCTTGGCGTTGGGTCCTGTCATTGATGACATATGTGGCAGTGTGAACACCTATGCAAAAAAAAATATGAAAATATTCGCCAGAAGTCGCACTACAACTCAATGTGTGGGTCAAGGGGTATATATTTTCAACCACTAATTACCTCAAATCCTTGAGATCAGAATCGACAGTATATTCAAGTCTTTCGCACAGCTTTCTGCGATAAATTGAAAAGTAGGAACAAGATCTTCAAAGCGCTAGCCTGCAGAACTTGGGGCTCGGATAGGGAAAATTTTTGGAACTCTTATAAATCGATGTGTCGTTCTGTGTTTAGCTATTCAGCTCCAGTGTGGTCTGCAAAAACGTGTGCAACGCAATGGAAAAGTATATCGACCTGCCGGAATGCCGACCTGAAAACTGCTATGTGGTGTCACCTCATGAATCCAGTGGACCATATACATGTGGAGGCGAATTTTCTTCCCTTACGTCAGCATAATCATATGATTTCGTTGCAGTGCCTACTTGGGTGTTACATTGTGAGTCATCCTTACCATTATATGGTGGACAGAACTCCCCGACTCAACCGTGCTAGAAAGGCTCAACTACATGTAGCCGCCTCAATTCGTATCGGGCCGAATTAAATTGATGAAGATGTGCAGAACGTCTGCTCAATGTGCGATATAGACCCTCACAATACACTGTATATTTTTAATTGCCCTGCCAAACTTACCCACTCTCTCCAGAGGATATGTAGATACATCCCATAAAAAATAATTGTCTTATCTGACTCGCAGTCCATAAATAGCACATTACAACAACAAAGTCTAAAACATATTAAGTACTTAATAGAACTTAATAATAACAAGTAAAAAAACATTAAGTTCGGCCGGGCCAAACTTTTAAGGAACGGGTTAAGGAAACATTAGAAGAAATGTACCAAAATCCATTAAAATGCCGAATATCGGGAAGTATCGTTATATGGGGGCTATACCAAATCGTGGACCTACACATGCAATGTTTCGCCAAAGGAGCTAGAACCCATTGTGACCTACAAATACCAATTTTCAGACCAATTTGTGAAAAAATGTGGAAAAAATCATCAAATTACCGAATATCGGGAGGTATTGTTATATAGGGCCTATACCAAAACGTGGACATATAATTACAATGACTCGCCACACGAACTGGGACTCATTATGATCTACAAATACCAATTTTCAAAGAAATTCTTGAAAAAAATGTGTCAAAAATCATAAAAACACCGAATATTGGGAGGTACCGTTAAATGGTGACTATATAACAACGTGGACCTATACATACAATGTTTCGCCACACGAACTAGCACCCATTATGACCCACAACTACCAATTTTTAGACAAATCAGTGAAAAAATGTGGCAAAAACCATCAAAATACCGAATATCGGGAGGTACCGTTATATGGGGACTATACCAGAACGTGGACCGATATATATATTACCAACCATCCTAGACACAATACAAATTGCTCTGCTAAATTTTGGCGCTCTAAGTCAGATAATGTGGGCTGTATCGTAATTTCAACAGACAGACAGACGGACATCGTTAAATCGACTTAGAATTTTATGCTGATTATGAATATATACACTTTATGGGGTCTACGACGAATATTTAAGGATGTTACAAACGGAATGACAAAGTTAATATACCATCATTTCCAAGGTGGAGGGTATAAAAATAATATTCAATACTATTATAGTCCCATATATTTATTTTTAACATTTTCAATATAACTATAAATCCAGTTTTCACATGTTTGAGGTTTCAAAAGTTCCTGCGGAATTTAACACCGTTTTATTGTTGAAATCATATACCATTGTGTAAGCAGTTTTTAGAGTCGGTGGGTTTTAAAGAGGTTAGACTTAATCCAAAAGGATTGTTTAAGTTATAGCTGAAACTACTCATTTTAAATATGCTTCACTGAATAATGGAGATTTTGATATTATTATTATTAGTATATCATAAATTATTTTTTTTCACAAATAGCTCAACGGAGGAACAATATTACAAAGTTGATGTCCACTACCAATCGGAGGTTGTCATCAAGTATCGTACAAGCTTAGAGTTTACCAGCATTGATTTAATTGGTATGCCATTAACATTTCAAAGCCAACAACTGTTTTCTTCTATCCTTTTTTGTGAAATTCCAGCAAATTTCGGTGGCATCTTTGGTCTGTGTCTGGGTGCGTCCATGGTCAGTGCAGTTGAGTTGTTGTATTACCTCACAGTTGGACTTGCTCTCTATTTATACGATAATAACTATTATCGTATACTCAAACAACATATTCGAGATTTACGCATGAAATGGATATCCGGTATCAAAGAAACGCTCAATGAAGAGTACGGAAATGGTACTTCCGTGAAGAGGAAAACTTCATTTGTGCCTAAACGTCCGCAACCAAGAAATAATAAATGGTGATCGATGGTGGGTGTGTGTGGCAGATACAAGATGAAATGAAATATCCTATATGAGATATCAATATCCTATATATTTCTATGTGTGTGTGTTTGTGTATATGTGTATAATCTTTAAATTATTGAATCTTTAAACAAAATATACGTCTTGGTATTTATTATGTTGTTTTTTTTTTACGATGACATCACAATGGCCAGAATCACATAATAGGAATATAATTAGAAATCACGGCGCCCTCAACTCTGGTGAGATTAGGGGAGACCCACCAATCCCCTTTTGTAATTAATGACAAATCTATGTTATGATGATTATGAAGTAAACCATTTTATGATAAGTAATTGACACTTGAGCTTATCTATAAAAAAAAATAAACTTACTATGATTATGCAAATCTTCCATTTATTACACATACTTTCGTGCACTCTTTTGGAAGCGATTAGAAAGATAACTAATCACGGCATGGCAATCCATTCAATAAATATTCTATAAATTAACCCCACAAATCCAAACACTGCAGTCAGTCGGGGAATAGTAATAATCCATTAAATATCAACTATTTAGCTTCCTCGTCGTTGTCGTCGCGTAGTGCTAACAAAAGAGACTGTTAAATCAACGTTAAATGACTCTAAAGGCAAACATACCAATTGCCACTGCCGCTGCCAACGACATCATGAACCCGGAGAAACCTCCACTGGAAATGACTAATCACGTTCAATCCTTGCAAGAGAAAGTTCCTTCCTCCAGTGATAGTGTCCTTGTTGAAACAGTAACAACAAATTGCTCTTGTTGCACTAATCGAGGTGTCCGCTATTATCTGGCTAATAATAACTCACCGAAGTCAAAGTAAGTGAAAACGGGTGAGAGATGAATATTGGAGTGATGGAATGGAAAGAATATGGATTATGCATTAATCATTGGAAAAATAATATGACATTAATAGAAATCCAATTGCAAACAATAAAATATATTGAACCCATACAGAAGCCAATATTATGTTCCGTAAAAAAAAATCAGATATGAATTTATCGATAAATTGGATATATCAGAGTTACAATTTTAAATAACTGTATGTGAATTCACAGAAAAACAAGTTAAACAGTATCTGTCGGTTTTGCCGACAGAAGTATACGCTCAGCCAATGCACGATTATTTAAAAATATTTTGCCTTCAAATTATTCAAATGTTTAACCCCTTATGGAATAGGTTCCGAGGGAATGTGCTAATATTGATAAAAGTGTTGAATATTGTGATCCTTTGTGAGTGAGGTGCCAGAAGGGGTTCACAGATATATATCATCCGCACAACAGATTTGTATTAGCAAAAATGGGTGTATGTGTGAAATTTGAAGAGTGTTGAATAGTTATTTCACTTTCTTTGATCGTTTTGCTTTTCATAATCTTGTACTCTATGGGCAGGTAGCAAAAAAGAATATCTACCATCCTTATAACAGATCTTGTGTTGATGAAAAAAAAGTCTTGAACGGAATCGGATATTAATTTCGCTTTTTATTTAAGGCTTAAAATTATAAATATCCAACATTTTGAGCCTTTGTGGAAGAGGCACTTGATGGAGTGGTGATATTGTCCATTTTCGACCTAGCATTGGCGCAAATATTAGAATTTGCAAAGTTGGAACAAAATGGGATAAGTGCTTCTTTTCTCTGCAGAGAATATTTTTTTTTTTTTTTTTGAAAATTTCGACCTTTTGTGGGGGAGGTACTAGAAGGAGTGGACCTATGTATTCGATTTTCACACCAGACATTAGGTTAATGAAATTATTGGGATGTGTGAAATTTGAAGACAATCGGACTTTTACATAACATTTTATAAGAGCTGAAATTATTCAAAATTTTGACTCTTTAGGGTGGAGGTACCTGATGTAGTGGGCAGTTATTGTCCATTTTCGCACCTGGCATAGAACTGGCGCATATATTAGGATTTGCAAAGCTGTAGCAAAATCGGATTATCGTTTCTCTTTCTGTGCAAAAAAATATTTTTTTGAAAATTTCAACCTTTTGTGGGGGAGGTACCAGAAGGAGTGGACCGATAGTGTCCATCTCCGATCTCGACCTTGGGTTAGTAAAATTATTGGGGTGTGTGAATTTTTAAGACAATCGAACTCTTACATCACATTTTATAAGAGTTGTAATTATTCAAAAATTTGACCCTTGGTGTTGGAGAAAACCGATATTAGCCATTTTCGCACCTGACCCAGCACTGATGCAATAGTTAAGCAAAGTTAGAGCTAAATCGAATTATCGTTCCTCTTTCTGTGCAAAAAATATTTTTTGCACATTTCGACCTTTTGTGGGGGAGGTACTAGAAGGAGTGGACCTATGTATTCGATTTTCACACCAGACCTTAGGTTAATAAAAATATTGGGATATGTGAAATTTGAAGACAATCGGACTTTTACATCACATTTTATAAGAGTTGTAATTATTCAAAATTTTGACCCTTTGTGGGGGAGGTACCTGTTGGAGAAAACCGATATTAGCCATTGTCGCACCTGACCCAGCACTGATGCAAATAGTAAGACTCGCAAAGTTAGAGCTAAATCGGATTATCCTTTCTCTTTCTGTGCAAATAATTATTTTCTTGGAAATTTTGACATTTTGTGTGGGAGGTACCAGAAGGAGTGGACCGATAGTGTCCATGTCCGATCTCGACCTTGGGTTAATAAAATTATTGGGATGTGTGATTTTTTAAGACAATCGGACTCTTACATCACATTTTATGAGAGTTGTAATTATTCAAAATTTTGACCCCTTGTGGGGAAGGTACCTGATGAAGTGGACCGATATTATCCATTTTCGCACCTGACCTAGTACTGATGAAAATATTGGGATTCGCAAAGTTGGAGCAAAATCGGACTATCATTTCTCTTTCTGTGCAATAAATTATTTTCTTTGAAAATTTTGACATTTTGTGTGGGATGTACCAGAAGGAGTGGACCGATAGTGCCCGTCTCCGAACCCGATCTAAGTTTGACAATAATATTACGATGCACCAACTTTGGATAAAAGCGGATACCCCCTTCGAGAGTTATAGTGCGCACCAGCCAGCCAGACGGACGGACGGACATCGCTAGATCGACTCCAAATGTCCTAAAACGGATTTGGTCCAAATTGACCTAGGGTCTAAAACCGTTATTTCGACTAGACACGTTTTAGTCGTATCAAATGATATAAACCCTCTGTAGCCATATGGCTACAGGACTCAAACACAGACCTTTATTAACAAACACTTGGAAACAAGTGTTGTACCCATTGAGATCCCAAATGTGAAATTAAAAAATAATAAAAAAAAATTAAAGAATTGAAAAAAGTATTTATATTTAATTCATAAACAAAGCAGGAACATGTCAAATTTAGTCCGCCTACACGAAGAGTTTGTCCTTCGGATTTATTTATTTAATAGCAAATGTCAAGAGAACTGCAATCTCTTGACGTTTAGTGGCATTTTTGTTGCAATTAGAGAATTTGAGGTGCAACATACTTCTCGGTTACAATCGCATCCTCAATTAACATATATATGGGAGCTATATACAAATATCAACGGATTTAAGTATTATTTGACACATTTATTATTGTACCGAATTCCGTCACCAATTCTGTTTGTTGCATCAACTATATATGAAATCGGCCAAAAATATATAGGGAGGTATATCCAAATCTGAACCGATTTAATTATATTTTTACAATATTATTTTTGCTCAAAATTCCGTTAAGCTCTCCAAACTTGAAGACTATATCTGTAATCGATCGATATATATGCATACAAAATCTAAATGTTTTGGGGGTACCTCCGTAACAAGTGGAATTTCAAAAATGTATGTAGCCTATGTTACTTTCAGGCCATGCTATAGTATATTTAGAATTTTTCAGTAAAATCTATTCCGCAGTTTTTGAGTCTATAAATTGCAAACAATCAAACGTACAAACATTATATCTAAATTTTGACTGATTCACACAATTTTCACTAGGATCCGTACTTAGGCCAAACAAATGATTTGTGGAAATTTTCATCTCAATCCGACAGTAAATGTGTTTCTATGAAGATTATCAAAAATATTTTGTTTCCTTCTGATTGTTACGAACAAATGTTCACAGACATGTACCACAGGGTGGCGTAGGTTATAAAAATTGTGTAAAAAATATGTAGAAACTCAACAACGGGCCGATTTGACTTAAATATTTTTCGGTTGTTTTTAAATGCAGTGAGAAGGTTTTTGCAAAAGTGATTTTTCCATAGTGGCTTTTCGAGCGAAAAACTGAAAATTCTTAGTGGAAAAAAATGACATGTTATTGCATTCTGTTAATTATTAAGCTTATAGCTAAAGAACGGCTGGACTGATTGTGACAATCTGCCCCAAATCATTTTTTCGATTGTTGGCAAATATGGTAAAATCGAACAAAAATCTTTAATGCGATTTTGCGCCATCAAAAATGTTCTATCATTTTTTATATCCCAAGAAATGTTTTCAATGTTGAATTGTACATTTTGTAGCAATTTTGTTTTTGACATCTGACATTTGTCCTACATTTACGCTCTCGGTCGTAGCTATAGGCATTCAAAACAATTTCACACGAAAGTTGTGGTCCATTCATCCGCTAAATATATTTCAATAGTCATTTAAAATGCTTCTGCCCTGTCCTGAACTCTAACCACATGCAAAATTTCCTGTCGATTGGTTTGTAATTGTGACCTGTAGACCGACTACAAAATCTGGAAAATTTTATTTCTCTTAATATTTTTTTCTTTGTCCATTTGAGCCCCTAAATATACATTTTCAAAAACAATTCTGACACTAATCCTACCCTCATGCAAAATTTCGTGAGGATCGGACGATAATTGCGACCGGAATACAATGCCCCTAACACATATGCTCTGTTCCAGAACTGCTAGAATGTAAACTTTTCTACTACGGTAACCGATACACTCCAACATACATAGTATGGACGGTATATTAAGTGCGTCATTCCGTTTAAAAATCATCGAAATAATAATTTTAGACATATCAAAGTCTATAATTTCTGGATCAGCGTAAAATTTTAAGACGATTTAGCCCTTTTCGCCCCCTGTGTAAAAATCCATACTAGAAATTTATTCAAAGCACTTTACCTCCTGGAAGAGATATGTCTATATAGGCCCACGTTATCGTATAGCCTCCATATAACGGTAGCTTTCAGTATTCGGTATTTTGATGATTTTAGCGACATTATTCACTGGATTTTCAAATTTAGTATTTAGGGTTTGTAATTGGAACTACAGCCTATGACGGAAAATTGTGTATACAGGTCTAGGTCTTCGTATAGACCCCATATAACAGTACCTCCCTATATTTGATATTATGACGATTTTAGGTACATTATTTTTTGAATTTCGTATTTGAAGTTCATAATGAAGGTCCAAGTCTTCGTATAGCCCCGATATGACGGTACCTCCCTACATTCGGATTTTTTCCAAATTTCGTATTTGTTCAAATCAATTTAGGAAGATTTCGCACAGATATTACCCTTACATCAGCTTACAGCTTAATATAATCCAATGATCATCCAATATGCTAGAAGTCTTCCTTCTCCTTAATTCTCTTCTCAGGCGTGTCGATTGGCTTCAATTGTGTGATCAGGATTTTTTTCTGTTATTGGTTCATTTGAACCGCTAAATATTTAGCGATCATCTCCAAAAGCAAGATGACTCTCTGTATCTCCAAACTGAGACTCATCTATATGATTTGCTTGTCTACGATATTTGGCTAAATTCGTCAACGAAATCAGCATAAAAAAGACAGATGTTCGCTTCTGTATATTTCGGATATCGCCTATAAGCAATGATGGTATTTTTTCACACAAAAGTAGTGGTTCATTCTACCCGCTGTCCTAGACTCTAACTTCATGCGAGATGTCGAACCCTTTGGTTTCTATTTGTGACGTTTATAACGTCATTTCAACCCCTAAATATATTGCGGACATCTTTGAAAACAATAGGCCTAGCCCTTCTTGGCCAAACCCTAACCTTGCGAAATTTTTCGTGAGGATCGGACGATAATTGCAATTTGTATATGATAACCTCAACCTGTGTTGTAAGGTGAAAAAATATTACAAAATATACAATTCAATATTATAAGTCAAATTGAAAAAATCGCATGCGATAAAAAATATGAAAAAATAAAAAAATGTCACAAAATGCTACAAAACTAATATTAACATCATTATATACGTGTTTTTACGCGATTTTTTTAGATTCTATTCTTTTATGTCAAGAAGGCATTCTGAATTGTTAAAATTTGTCAAAATCGGTCAAGCCATTCTTGAGATATAAGCATTCTAGCTAATATCTCCTTTCTTTGTATATACAAAATGTATATATTATTCGCTATATATACCCGATATATTTACTATCGGCATCTACGTAACGATCAAAATTGGCCTGTTCGTCTATTTGTGATTTCACCGGGATTAAAAATATTCGCGGTTTATTGGAAAATTTGACTTTTATTTTACACACATATTATGGTATATTTCATCCACTAAATATTGCCCGATGACCATCAAAATTGGAAGGCTTCTGCCCAGCCCTAAGCTCTAGCCCCATGCTAACTTCCGCGTCTATTGGTCTATAATTGCGACCTGTAGAGCAACTGCAAAATCAGGAAATGTTTCAATTTTTGGTTAATTTAACCCCTAAATATTACGCGATCATCTCCAAAAGAAATAGGGTTCTATTTTGGCCTCATTTCTATTTGCCAAAGCTATCAAGTTAGCCCAAGACAGCCGGAAGTTCGGTCAAACATACATTCAATCTTCGAAATTGTCATGCCAAAACAAACTACCCTTTACCATTGTCTTTCCACCATTGCTTGATGAAGATTTAACTACTGCTGCAGCGAAATTTATCGGACACTTTGTGTTTGCTTGTTTGTCGTTCACCCCCTTTCAATTTGCAGGTGCATGCGAGCTTTCATTGTCCTCTTGGCTACAGCATGTGCTGCGTATGTCTGTCTGTTGTCTTCACGCCGCTACTTTCACTCTTGGGTACAAACCGTTATTGAACGCACCGATGTTCATGTCTCTGAAATACCATTCCCGGCGGTTACCATTTGCCCAGTGAAAGGTTTAAATTTGTTACGCCTCGAGCAAGAGGCGACAACATTTCTCGGTACCACAAAACAACAACAGCAGTCACGGGCGACAGACAAGGAATTACATGACCTACACATGTTGCTGAACACCATGAATGAGCTGATGTGGCCGGACATAGAGAATACAGCAGATACGGTTACCACTTTGAATGCCAAAGAAGAGGTGCTGCATCATCCGAACCAATCATTACCAGTTGTTGAACATTTTTTGGAAAGTTTTGCCCTGGGCAATGACTCATCCAAAGCGATGGACGTTGAGGATGCTGTAAAAACCAAAATCGATTTAGATGATTTGCTAGCATTTTTGTCCTTTGAATGTGAGGATATATTTGCGGAATGTACTTGGCGCAGGGTGAAGATGCCTTGTTGTCAGCTGTTCCACAAAATACACACCTACAAGGGAATCTGTTATTCATTTAATTCTATTCTGGTGGAGGTAAGCATGATTTTGAGGTAAATTAATTTTATGGGGAAATTTGAAAATTTATTTGTTTTGCTTTCATTTTTAGAATCCCATTCCCACATGGCCGTGGGTGATGGCTGAGGCGGGATTACATTCTGGTTTGAAAATTCTGATAAAGCGAGGTTCGATTGGACGCTATTACGAAAAAGTAGCTGTAAGTATAACATATCTATATATAAGAGAGTAGCGAAATAAGTGACTGACCGAGAATCTTAAAATTTTGCACGGGTGCCAGTCTCGATGCGAAGACGTGTGATTAGGCTGGGTTTTTGATGTATGATAAAATATATGAGCTAGAATTCTAATAAATAAATTCGGAACTCCATCTGCGAGTGCAGGATAGATACACCGAAGGGTTTTTGGAAATTCAACATTTAGGGATATGAAAAGTTCTGAAAAGGTACTGAACTTCTAAAATTGTACCATTTTGTACTATGTGAACGGATAGAGCTAAAAACTTGAAATGACTTGGTATCAGATTCAAGGCTGGAAATAGGTTTGATATCTAAAGTTGGTTTTGGAAATGTACACTAAGTATGCGAACTGTACAAAATGGTACTAAATTTTGACCAGTTTGGTTTAGGTGAATGCATGAAGCTGGAATATTGAAATTTTGTATTTGGGACTCTGTTGTTGGCATGTTTGTGATGAAGAGGTGGTTTTGGAAATGTATACTACAAGTGCCCCAAAATTACTAAATAGTACCATATTTAGTACAATTTGAGCAATTTGGTATTGGGCGAACAGTTTGCGCTTGAAATCTAAAATTTTATAAAGGGGTCGATGTTCATGTGTAGCTTGGACATGTGGACGTGGTTTGGGAAATGTGAACTATAATTGAACGAAAAGTACTGAATGGTACTATATTTGGTATTGGGTAAAGGAATATAAATAAAATTCTGAAATTTGGTATTTAGATTACTGATGGTATTTATGTTCAAGATTTGGCAGTGGTTTGGAAATGCGTCCTATATTTGTACCAAAAGTACTAAATTTGTTATTGGATGAAGGGATGGGCCTAAAATCCTCAAATTTGACATTGAAGACTCTCTTGGTGTCTGGAATTGATAACGGTGGTTATGGAAATGTATGATATCATTGTACGATAAGTACTAAATTTGGTTATGGGTGAAATCCTGATTTTTTATACTGATGTCACTGATGTTTATATCTGTGGTTAAAAGAAGGAGCTGGTTTTGGATATGTGTACCACAATTATATTAAGTGGTGAATTAAAAAGCTGAAATTATGAAATTTGATATTAAGGTCACTATTTATATCTGAAGTTGAGATATAGATTGCAAATGAGTACTTAAAAAGTAAAAAGTGGTACTAAATGGGTACTGGGTGAAAGGATAGAGCTGAAACAGTGACATTATATATTGCGATAACAGTTGGTGTCTAGGATTGAGATATAAAATGGTTTGGAGGACTAAATTTTGTATTGGGTGGAGAGAGGGGCTAGTATCCCATAATATGATAGTAAGGTCTCTGTGTTGAGATTTGGTGGTGACTTTGCAAATGCGTACGATAATTGTTTGAAAAGTACTAAATGATACTAATTCTGGAAAAAAGTTTGTATCCAGTATGGAGAGATGTAGAATTTTGATTTTCTTAAACTTAAACTAGAATATGAATCTTCCTACCTCGCCGAACTGAGTCGATCTTGCTATGTATGTCCGTCCGTCTGTCCATGTTAATTTGTAATCACGCTACAGGTCGCAATTATGGCCCGTTCCTCACGAAATTGAAAGTGGAGGTGGGGTTATGGCCAGAATGGAAGCCTATTGTTTTTGGAGATGATCGCATTACATTTAGAGGTTGAAATGGACCAAAAAAAGAAAATTTTCCTGATTTTACATGGAGTTAGAGTTTAGGACTGGGCAGAATTCTGCCAATTTTGGCGGTCATCGGACAATATTTAGGGGGTAAAATAGACCCTAACTTTTATGTAAGAAAATAGGAAAATTTCCCTAAACCGCGAATATTTTTAAACCCAGCCAAATCACAAATACTTTTAAAGGTCACTCCTGACCAATTCAGTGATGCTGTTAGACAAGAAATCAGATTTATATAAAAATAGGAACAATATATATGTAAAAGAAATAGATCTTATTTATTCTGCATACAAGCCAAGAACCGCTGGGCCGATTTTCACAATTCCCAAATATTCTGAGTGGTATCTGGCCAGAAAAGGAAAAAATCTAAGAAAATCGCGAAAAAATATACCAATAAAAAAGTGAATACCTTTCGTTTTATTTTTTCAATTTTTGTCATATTTTTTATCGCATGCGATATTTTAAATTTGACTTACAATTTTGAATTGTATTTTTTTTTTTTAATTTTTACACCCCGAAACACTACGTTTAAGGGTATTATATGCATATCTCAATTATCGTCCTATCCTCACGATATTTTGCATGGGGTAGGGTTAGGGTCAGAATTAAAGCCTATTGTTCTGAAGATGTACATTTAGGGGTTCAAATGGACAAAAAAAATAATTTTTGTAGTCGCTCTATAGGCCACTATTGAAAACTAATCGACATGGAATTTCGCATCAGATGAGAGTTAAGGACAGGGAATAAGTCTAGAATTTTGTATGACTATTGGATTATATTTAGCTATAAAATGGACCAGAATTTTCGTATGAAATTGTTTTGAATACAACACGAGGTAGTGCGTAAATATTGGCCAAATTCTCCGGGTCAAAGACCTTAGGGTAACTTTTAAGCAGAGATCTTTGACATTATTTCAAAATCGAAATCTTCCAAAACGGATTTGGGTATTAGGAGACTTCGAACATATTTTAGTGTTGTAGGGTATTACATGGTCGGCCCTGCACGACTTTTTGAAGAGAGAGTTTATTATGCAGCTACAGCTGGTTATCTTTCTGGCTGGTTGGAGCGCACTTTTGGAAAAGGTATCAGATGCAACCTAAACTTGGTACTAATATTTTTGTCAAACTTGATATTGAATGTTGCACAGAGAACGCGATTTCGTTAAAACTTAGTATATCGAATTATTTATGTTAGGTGCGAAAATGGACAATATTGGCCCACACCTTCTGGTACCTTCCCCACAAAGGGTCAACATTTTAATTTAATTAAATTTAAAAGTTATAAAATGTGAAAGAAAAATCCGCTTATCGCATATCCTAATATTTATACCATCTCCATATATTCGATGAAGAAGGGATATATTGGACCATACCTTCTGAAACCACCCCAGCTTTTAAAATTTTTAGTATGGTATACCCTATTAAAGTTACGACTGATATAATAACCAATATTTTGTTTATACCCTCCACTATTCTATGGAGGGTTTCGAAATATTCATAACAGAACCTACAATGTATATATTCTAGATCACCGTAGAATTATAAGATGATCTAGCGAGTCGGTCCGGCCATTTTAATATAGCCCCCTTATAATGGTACTCCCGATATCAAGTATTTTCATGATTTTAGCGACATTATTTACCGTAATTATTTCAAGTTTCGTATTTGAAGTTCGTAATGGGTACTACGTCCTAAGGAAAATCATTTTGTATGTAGGTCCACGTCTTCGTATAGCTCTCATATAACGGTACCTCCCGATAGTCGGTATTTTGACGATTTCAGCAACATTTTTCACCGGAATCGTTTCAAATTTCGTATTGGAACGATTTCGGTAAATAATGTTGCTGAAATCATCAAAATACCGACTATCGGGAGGTTTTCGTATAGCCCCCATATGACGGTACCTCCCGAGACTCGGTATTTTCATGATTTTTGCGACATTCAAAATACCGACTACCAGGGACTAGATTTTTTGAAATTGTTCAAATTCCTTCCAAATGGTGGAGTATTAAAAGTTCGGCCTGGCTGAACTTAGCTGCTTGTTTTGCTTGTTTTTTTTTTTTTTTTAATTTCAGGCAATGGTTCATGATCCAACAGAATTTGGTTCAGCCGATATAACATACATGGATAGTGAACGGGTCCTGATAACAGTAAATCCCCTACGCTTTACGGCTGACAATGATATCCACAGTGTAAAGCCAGAATTGAGACATTGCTATTTTACAGTAAGTCTGACAAAAGTATACAAAACTTATAATTCTCAAAAAAAAATCTCCCATTGCAGAGTGAACTAAAATTATTGGGAAAAAGTCGTGGCAATTGTATACGCAACTGTCGCCTGAAATATATTGAAAAATATTGTAATTGTACCTATTTCTTTCCCGTTGCCACGAAAAATGTAAGCGAACAATCATTGCCCATTTGTAAGGCGGTAAATCTAAAATGCATTTATCAGCATAAAAGTAAGTATCGACTGTAAATTTTCCTTTTGGGTACATTATAAAAAATACGCTTCAGATATCATTTGGTCAACAGGTAATGTCATACAAGAGACCCAAGATGGCATCCATTTTCAGACGTACGATTGTAAATGTTATCCGAATTGTAATTATGTCCAGTATCGAACAGCCATAAATACGGATCATACTTCGAATGGTGAACGTTCGTCACAATTCATTGACCTGACTGTACAATATCAACATGATACACTGTTTTCATATCGATCGTCGTTGTGTTTTACCCTACTGGATTTAATAGGTAAGAACGATCATCATCATTTTAATGTCTTCAATTTTAATGTCATTTTAATTTTCTTAGTATCCTATGGAGGTATTGCCGGCTTGTTTTTGGGTTTCTCATTGGTGGGTATAATTGAGGTCGTGCATGATTTTATCGTCTTACGAAGTCGAAAAAAGGTTGCACAATCTGAGGCGGCAACTGAAACAAAAATAACAAAAGAAAATGACACGAAATGTAAATGTCAGACAATGAAATCTTATAATTGAGGAGGAGGATGATGTTGGCTACAAAAGAAAAACAGCAAGGACCTGTGAAATTTAAAGGTTCTTTGTTAAAAAAAAATATTTTTACCTGCATTCTGTAAGGGCATATTTTGTAGACATATTTTGTAATCCTAAAAAAATAAACTAACAAAACAAAAGCGTGTTGATTTACTGCCGGGATAATTAAGCATAAAATCATGTCGGAGCGTTCGCCAGTTGTCTTGTAAAACAAGGCGGCAGTAATTTAATAGGGGTCTTGCATGGGCAGGTAACATTTATTCAGACAAATTACGTCTTCTGCTCTCTTGAAAGTTAGTATAAATAGTCCTGCCATCAGTCAGAGCAAATCAGTTCTCTCTGATCACTCAACAAAGCAACATCACCATGAAACTCTTCGTTGTCCTTTGCACTCTATTTGTGTTGGTAAGAATCGAAAAATAACCCAATTTATAATTTTAAAATAATAATTTCAATGCTTTCTTTCAGAATGCCTCCGCCTATGTGGTAAAGAGCCGTGATGATCTGCTGCAATTTCGCAATGAATGCGTCTCCGAATTAGAAATTCCTGAAAACCTCGTCGAACAATACAAAAAATGGCAATATCCCAACGATTCGGTGACCCAGTGTTACTTGAAATGTGTTTTTGTTAAATTCGGTTTCTTCGACACTGCCAGTGGTTTCAATGTTGAAAATATTCATCAACAATTGGTTGGATCCCAGGGAGAAGCCAATCATGATGATGCTGTCCATGCCACAATTGAATCCTGTGTCGATAACAACGAACAAGGCAGTAATGCCTGCGAATGGGCTTACCGTGGTGCCACCTGTTTCATTAAAAATAATTTGCAGTTGGTTCAACGCAGTGTTGCCCCCTCCGCTTAAGAATATTTCGTAGGGTATATTAAGTTTTCAGAATTGCAACTCATATGACTCAATTTTTTCATCGATACTAGGTTAGGTCTTTTAACGTTTTTTTTAAATAAAAAAAATATATACAAAAATACTTTAATTGGTTTTTAATTACTGGCGGAATTGTCAAGATAGGGCACATGAACCATTTGTATAATCAAACCAGTAAGGAAAGCTCAAAAGTCGGGCGGGGCCGACTATATGATACCCTACACCACTATGCATATTTAGTAGAGCTCTCGTAAAAAGGTTTATACAGGGCATTTCAGAGCTCTATGAGATATTTGGTACAAAATCAAAATCTATCTAATTCTATCGTGCATTTTACGAACTGTAGCTATCTCTGAACCGGGTTTCTCCAAATTTTACGTATTAGCTTCTAGACTGGTGATTTGGGCTGACATTTAACCTGAAAACGGATGAAGATATATATGAGAGCTATATCCAAATCTGAACCGATTTCGATAAAATTTAAAACAGCTATTCCTGTGCTCCATCTAATACCTGGTACCAAATATCACGGTTGTGGAGTGAATATTACGAATGTATGGGACTAAAATTCTAAATCGGATGAAACATATATATGGTTGCTATATCTATATCTGAACCGATTTTCACTAAATTTGATATACTTGCTTCTAGGCTGAATTTGGTCCGATGTACTAAAATTCAGTCCATTTGGACTTATATCGGCCATTTGGTGCACAATTAACCCGAAATCGGATGAAGATATATATGGGAGCTATATCCAAATCTGAACCGATTTCGATAAAATTACAAACAACTATTTCTGGGCTGTATCTTATATCTGGTACCAAATATCATTCTTGTGGAGTGCATATTACGAATGTGAGAGGCTTAAACACCAAATCGGATGAAAGATATATATGGGAGCTATAGCTATATCTGAACCGATTTTCTCCAAATTTGATATACTTGCTTCTAGGCTGAACTCGGTTGGGTGTGCCAAAATTCAGGTAATTTGGACTGATAGTGAACATTTGGTGCACATTTAACCCGAAATCGGATGAAGATATATATGGGAGCTATATCTAAATTTGATCCGATTCTAACCAATTTCAATAGGGTTCGTCCTTGGGCCAAAAAAATATTGTTTGGAAAATTTCATCTCAATCGGATAATAAATGCGACCTGCATTTTGTTCACAAGAATACATGGACAGACGGACGGACGGACGGACGGACGGACGGACAGATGGACTGACATGCATAAATCGACTCAGAAAGTGATTCTATGAAGGTTCTCAAAAGTAACTATGGGTCTATCTCGTTTCCTTCTCCATATTAAAATCAAATGCACAAAGACATAATACCCTTACCACTATGTGGTGTAGGGTATAAAAAGATGAAAAACGTTTAAGGGCATTAGAAGTCGATCTTGTTTCGTTTTCCACCGTTTTTTCCTAGATGGTGATCATACTTAATTTGATCCATGCTTTGCACGGCTCGAAGATGAGAGGCAATCCACTCTGGTATCTAGTAAAGAAGACGACATTATTTGCAAAACATACTTTGATGCCCATAAATCATCGTGATATCTACGTCACACTCACGTCTAGGCGTATATTTTTCAATTTGTTATCCGGGGTTTTCCTTTCGAAATTCAAATTGATCCATTTAAATTTCTAAATTAAAAATATAAATTAGTAATACAATCACTCGTATTACGAATGGAATAATAGGAATTTCAAATGGAAATTTCAAATCATAATTCAAGTTACAAATGAAATTATGGAATAACAATTACAATGCTTCAAAATAAAATTAGTATTATTGAAAAAAAAAAATAACAAGTAAGCAAAGGTTATAGTCGTGCGGGCCGACCTTGTGATACCCTACAACACTGCAATATGTTAGAAGCCCCCTTATTTCCAAATCCATTTTGGAAGATTTCGCTTTTGAAATTATGCCCTTAGCATTTTGACCAGGGACATTGGCCCAATATTTACGCACCCCGTCGTGCTGTTAGTTGTTGTGGTCCATTTTACAGCTAAATATAATCCAACTAGCTGAGGCCGGTGCGCTTCGCTATCCCTTTTGATTTTATATGCCTTCAAATTTTATAAACGAATATATGTTGGCTTAAAAAAATAAAACAAATTCAAAAATTTAAAAACAAATAGTAATACTGTAATGTGTAAATAAACAAATAGCTCGGTCTACCAACGCGTAAACATGACAGGAACAGCTCACCATGAGAAAAGCAGGAACATGCCAAATTTTGTCCGCATATACGAAGGGTTTGTCCTTCGGATTTATTAATATCTTAGGAAATGCCAAGCGTGCAGGAAACTGCAATCTTTAGAAGTTGAGTGGCATTTCTATTGCAATTAGAGAATTCGTGGTAGCAACATACTTCTCCCTAATAATCGTATCCTCAATTAAATTGTTGTGTAGTTTTATACTGTTCATAAAATCGTATCCCAATCTGAAATTAGTGCGCCAATTACGTGTAAATGGTCGAATATATATATATATATATATATATATATATATATATATATATATATATATATATATATATATATATATATATATATATATATATATATACATATATATATATATACATATTTATATATATATATATATATATATATATATATATATATATATATATATATATATATATATATATATATATGCCAAGGCCCAGCATGATGATGCTGTCCATGCCACTATTGAATCCTGTGTCGATAAAAACGAACAGGGCAGCAATGCTTGTGAATGGGCCTATCGCGGTGCCACCTGTTTCATCAAGAACCATTTACGTAGTGTTGCTCCAGTGGCTTAGTGATATTGTTTGTCGAAACAAATTTTTAAGTTTAGTTAAGGATATTTTGAAATAAAATTTAAGTAAATTGAAAATATAATTTCTTATTTGTTTTTGTTCATATTGGCAGACATTTTTTGATACGCGAATTTTGAAAAATACAACGCTAATTTCAGTTTTTTTTTTTTTTTTGTGAGAGAGTTATCATTATTCAACATCTTGGTAATTTGTGGGAAAGTGCCAGAAAAAGGGAACTGATTATACAAATTGTTGACCATTTGAGGAGAGGGTCCAACATTATTAATAAAATGGTACAATGTGCAAGGTTTACACAAAATCGTATGATTCCTCCGCTTTATATAAGGCTTATCAATAGAGCAAAGAAAAAACTGATTCATCAATTCCCAGTCGAAATGGCTGCAGCTAAAGTCTTTAAATTTTCCATGAAGATCAATGCTGGTGTGAGATAAGACTAGGGTTTTGGAATTTCGAGCTATAAGTGAACGGATGGAGCTAAAATCTCGAGGTGTTTTCGGAGATGTGTACTAAGTGTAATAACTATACTAAATTTAATACAATTTGGCTTTTGATAAATATGGAATTTTGAAATGTTGATATTGAGGTTACTGTTATTGTGTAAAGTTGAAATTTGATTTATACGAAAAGTACTAAATGCTATTTAGTTTGGTATTCGGGGAAGGGATATTGCTATCTGAAATATAGAGTTAAAATCTTCGACAACATCAAATAATCGAATAATAAGTGCACTAAAAGTACTAAAATTCATTCAATTTGATACTATTTGGAAATATGTGAATAGAGAATGGTTAGAGATATAATCTTAAATTTGATCAGGTTTGAGAAGTAGGGCTGATACAAGAACATGTAATATTGTTTTTTTTCCAAGACTTGCAGCTCTGAAATTTTATAATGAAAATTGCATGTAATCTGGACTTTCAGATATTCGTACTAAATGTTTACGAAATATGCGGACAATGAATAATAGTTGTGTTGTTAGTTCGTCCCTAGGAATGTCTTTTGATGTAGCTTAATGTTAGGTCCAATGGAACATTGATATTATCCACACTCACTCTTGGTCCGAAGGTGTCAAATGAGGCTAGAATTGGGAAATTCTTTCTAGAAAGGTACGAAAAGTTCTACAATATACTAAATGATGAAATGCATTTGACATACCAGTTGACCTAGAATTTAGTTTGGGTGGAGGGTCACTGGTGGAGTGTGTGATAGAGGTACCAATGGGTGTTTGGAAATTCGCACTATAAGTGTACAAAAAGGACTAAAATGTACCGCATTTGGTACCACTAGTCTTGGGATATGAGGGTAGTTTTCGAAATTTGTACTTAAGGGTAAGCCCACAGAGTTAGAGTCTTAAAATTTGGGATTTTTTTATTTCATTTGTACTGCTTCAGTACAAAAGGTAAAAAATGGCATACAATATAGTAGAGTTGGATTTCTGAATATTGGTGTTGCGGTCAGAATTGATGTGTACTTCTGAGATATGGAGGTGGTTTTAGAAATATGAACCGTAGATGAAGGATTAGTACTTTTCCTGCATCAACATTACGTTTTTCCAAAATGGTACTAAAATTTTAATTATGTTCGATATTGGTGTGTAGGATTGAGATATATATTTTTTAGAAATTAATACTTATTTGAACAAAAAGTACCAAATGGTCCTAAATTTGGTATTAGGTATAGGATGAATAACCTATATATAGAGGATTGAAATAATGAGAGAGTGACTAACTGATTCATAAAAGTTCAGGCGAAACGGCTGAAGGTGGAATAAGATTTTGCATGTAGACCAATGTTTTTGTGTAGGGATAAGATAATTCGTACAAGAAAGATGCTAAAGGTACTAAACACTGAATTAAATACCTATTTTGGAAATTCAAATTATGCATACTAAAATGCGCTTAATTTGGTTTTATCTAAACGGAGTTGCGATGTACTTCCGAACTTAGCCCATAGACAGATACGTCAAATTTGGTAAAAAAATGGTTCAGATATAGCTATAGCAACGATATATATGCTTCACCCGATTTTAATTTAAATCTTCTCTAAATCATACCATTTAATCTACACTTATGATATTTGGTACGAGAGAACACATTATTTTCCAAGTGGGGAAGTCAAATTTCTACAGATGAAATGAATTTTCTCGAAATTGAATTTTTCATGATAGTTGAGATAGAGTTCGAAAAAAAAAAAAAAAAAAAATAGCTCTCATAAAATGTGTTGTTATTGTGTGATTTTTTGGAAACTTAATTTGTAAAATCATATAAATCCAGTAATGGTTTGATCAACATTTCTCTGAATCCCCGATACTTCTCAAGTTTTACACACCGCAATATACATAAACTACGTTTCAATAATGATTTCGTAATTTTCGATCAGTTGAAAATTGTGGTGTCAATAAAATTTGAAAAATATTCCATACGGCAAATATTGAGAAATAAACTCGGGATAAAGCCATTGAAATTCCAAAAAAATTCAAGAACTTACACAGCAACGTAATGAAAGTAGACTTAAAAGAGCTAAAGAGTTGCATCGCTTGACCGAAAGTGGTGAACTGCCGAATTCTCCGATGAGAAAACATTCGTTGTCCACAAGTTTGTAATCAAACAAAATGATCGTGAATGTGCACTTTCGGTTGGCTACCAGAACTTAAGCGCCGGTCATGGTGATGGTGTGGGCCACCATAACAGCCGATGGTTGCTCTCCGCTCGTATTAATCGACCATGGCATCAGAATAAATGCCTAATATTCTCGCGAAAATATTCTGGAGGGTTTATTAAAACCTTGGGTACGCAAACATTTTGCCGCAGACCTTGGACATTCCAGTAAGACTCAACACGCGTCACCCAAGAATGGACACAAAATGAGGTTCCTCGCTTCATTTCCAGCGCACAATGGCCCCCAAAATCTTCGTTGAACCATTGTGTCTGGAGTATTTTGGAAAGCAGGGTTGGCACTAAAAAATACCAAAGTGTCGATCACCTCAAGTAAGCGCTCGACGGGAATGGGCCAAAATACCACAGAGCAACATTCGGGCAGCGTATGACGGTTTCATTGGCCGTTTGAAGGCCATAATTCATGCCAAAGGTGACCAATTCGAACAAATCGAAACTTTTTCTAAAATTTGATGGTATTTAATTTCATTCAATAAAATTAAAAAACAAATGTATAAATTATGGCGTTTGGCTTTGTTGCAGTTTTTTATCTCACCCTGTATATATTATTTTCCAATACGGTCTTATATGCCAGAATTTCACGGAAATGTTAACGTTTCATTATAAAATGTCTAAAACTGTAGCATCCTGTCCTGTATACCGGCCTTTAATCCTGACAGTTCATAATTCTTTGTTGAAAGAAGAGAAAAAGCTAATATATTATTTAACATGTGAAAAAACAGGTTAAATCGACCGGGCGAACTTTTAATACCGGCTATCAATTGGAAGTAACTTGCAAAATGTACCATTGAATCTGTTGAAAAATGGCGCTATATTTTTAAGAATTTTGAATATTTGGGATTACAGTTAGGATATACGAAAATTTGGACCTATAATGCCAATTATTTGCCAGTAAAGGTGGTGCCGTTTACGAACTCCAAACACCAAGGTTGAGATATCCATTTTAACTAACTCAAAATTTCAAATTTGAAACACTTCCGGTGAAAAAGTCACACAAGTCATAAAAATACAGAATACCTGAAGTTAGAGTTATATGGAGGCTATAGCGAAATTTGGACCTATATGGAGAGTTATATTCAAGGATATTTCCTACATACTAAAAACAAAAACTGCCAATTTGCAGCAAAGTCCTGCCGACGTAAAATACATCTGAGAAATTGAATCAGTTTACTTCTAGCCTGTACAGCAAACTTATTTTTCTTCCAATTTTTGGTTTTCGTACGTACTCCTTTGAGTATGTCCCGAACCGACTACAACGGATCAAAGTTTTCTAAATTAATTTTTTTATGTAGTCCACACATTCCCATGGGGATTGCGTCCGTTTTGGAAGCGGACATAATGCCTATTATGGAAGTTATGATCAAAAACAAACCGGACATAATCCCCATAAATGCAATGGGGATATTATGTCCGGCCACCGACACGGCACACCCAAAACCAACGAACGCAATCAGTTTTTTTAAATAAATAAATTATCTTTTTAGAGACATAAACAAATTTTTGACAGTAGGGCAATAGGTGAAATGAGCTTCTACTCCCAGACGAAAAAATAAATGATCTGAAATAAAAACTTGATTGTCTGAGTAGCAATTGCTTGCCTACCTTAAAATTTCTGTGAACAGGCTATTCATTTCGTTCGGTGGCTGAAGTAATTTCCACAGACAGACGGACATAGAATTTCATGCCGATCAAGAATATATAATGTATTCGTCGGAATGACAAACTTAATATTGTTATTATTAGTATGAAGGATAAAGGACTAAGTCAAAAAAATGTCCACTAATAAATGAAAATTTTTTTCGTAAAACAAATACCTACAATAACTATTTGGAAGTGAAAAAATAATACAACCTGTAGCTAAAGTGATTTTAAGAATCCCTGTGTTAATCTCTTCACAATGACAGTCCAAAAGGAATCGAACATTTTCCGTCCAAAGATAATATCTGATTGTATTTTAATCGTTTTTACAAGTAGACATCTAGGTTCTAAAATAATTAGGGATTTATTAAATGAGTCTCAAGGCAGGTAGAAAACAATTATTTCTGATAGAAACAAAAATACAAAACAGGTAACCAGAAATTCCCACAGTTCATGGGTATAAAAATGTCCTCAAATTCAATATTGGAATTAGTTGTCATCGATCTCACAACGACTAAACATCACTTTGAAAACCATGAAAATATTTGTAGCTGTGTGTTTCTTGTTTGCTGTGGTAAGCGTGAAATAAATTTAATTTTAAATCTAATTCTCAATAAAATCAATTTTTCTCAATCAATAAAATAACTTCCTTTTTAGAGCACCTCCGCCTATGTGGTCAAGAGTCGTGATGAACATTTGCAGTTTCGCAATGAATGTATTGCCGAATTAAAAGTTCCCACCGACTTGCTCAACCAATATAAACAATTCCAATATCCAAATGATTCTACGACCCAATGCTATTTGAAATGTATTTTTGTTAAATTTGGTTTCTTCGATACGACCAATGGTTTCAGTGTTGAAAATATTCACCAACAATTGGTTGGAGCTGCTGCTGAGGCCAATCACGGCGATGATCTCCATACGAAAATTTCGTCATGCATTGATAAAAACGAACAGGGCAGCAATGCCTGTGAATGGGTCTATCGTGGTGCCACCTGTCTCATCAAGAACAATTTGCCATTGGTTCAACGCAGTGTGGCGACTCAGACTTAGTGATATAATTTTAGTAATATTAGATTTTCTGTATTAAAATATAAATTTATGAATACATCTTTTTTGATTTTTTTAAATTTTGGTTGTACTTTTTTATATCAAGGATTTTCTTTTTAAAAAATCATAAAACTCAAAATATGTTGTGAAATTAGTTCCTGATTTTCGCATCAAAATATATTTGTAAATATGGGCAAATGTTTATGTATTGGTCCATTCTTTTTTTTTGTTGAGGTGAAATCAGTCTCTGATTTCCCAAATTTAGAACGTCATAAAATGTCTGCTAATCTAAAATGTTAAGCTGTGATAATTGGATATATAAATTAACTTCGGGACTTTTATATAGGAAATTCTGTCTTTTCATACCTTGCACCATATAGTGGTAAGGGTATTATGTCTTGGAGCATTTATTTGTAACATGGAGAAGGAAGCGGGATAGACCCATAGTTACTTTTAAGGATCTTCATAGAATCACTTTCTGAGTCCATTTTTGCATGTTAGACCGTCTGTCCGTCCGTCTGTTCATGTATTTTTGTGAAAAAATGCAGGTGGCATTTATTATTCGATTGAGTTGAAATTTTCCCAAGGACGAAACATTTGATGAAATTGATAAAAAGCGGTTCAAATTTAGATATAGCTCCCATATATATCTTTAACCGATTTCTGGTTAAATGTGCACCAAATGGCCAATATCAGTTCAAATGATCTGAATTTTGGAACATCCGACCAAATTCAGTCTAGAAGCAAGCACATCAAATCGGTTCTGATATAGCTATAGCTCCCGTATATATTTCATCCATGTGTAGTATGCACTCCACAACAATAATCTTTGGAACCAGATAACTGATGGAGCTGAAACTTACCTCTGTCAAATTCTATCGAGATCGGATCAGATTAGGATATAGCTCCCATATATATCTTTATACGATTTCAGGTTTATTGTGCATAAAATGACAAATTGAATGAATTTTAGCACTTCCGACGGAATTCAGCCCAGAAACAAGTTATTAAAATTTTGGTGAAAATCCGTTCAGACATAGCTCTAGCTCCAATACAAAGGTTTTATCTGATTTGGGGTTAAAGTTCCTCACATGCGTAATTTCCCTGCACAAGAATAATCTTTGATCTTGATCTTTTATCAGATCAATATTAATATCGTTTCAGATTCAGATATAGCTCCCATATATATCTTTATTCGATTTCAGGGTTTTTGTGCACCAAATGGCCAATATCAGCCCACATTGACTGAATTTTGGACTTCCGGCGGAATTCAGCCTAAAAGCAAGGGCTTCAAATTTTGGTGAAAATATAGCTCCCATATACAGGGTGACATAAAAAAATGCAACAAGTCAAACGCCATAATTTTTATTTTATTTTTTTTTTTAATTTCATTGAATGAAAGCTGAAAATGTCGGAAATAGCATCAAATTTTAGAATAAGTTAAGATTTGTTGGAATTGGTCACCTTCAAACGGCCAATGATTTTGTAACCATTCTTGGGTGGCACGTGCTTAGGTGCGATGGTGCTGAATCCTGTTGGAATGTCCAAAGTCTGCAGCCAAAATGTTTGCGTACCCAAGGCTTTAATACACCCTCCAGAACATTTTCGCTATAATATCCGAAAAATACATTTTAGACCCCACAAAGTATATATATTCTCGATCAGCATAAAATTCTATGCCGATATTCGGTATTTTGATGATTTTGGCGACATTATTCACCGGAATTGTTTCAAATTTTGTTTTTGAAGGTCGTAATAGATACTACAGCCTAAGACAGAAAATTATCTGTGCAGATCCACGTCTTCGTATAGCCCTCATAAAACGGTACCTCCCGATACTCCGTATGTTGATGATTTCAGCGACATTAATCACCGGAATTGTTTCAAATTTGTTATTTGAAGTTCGTAATGGATTCTACAGCCCAAGGCAGACAATTGTCTGTGCAGGTCCACGTTTTCGGTACCTCCCGATATTCGGTATTTTGATGATTTTATTGACAGTTTTCACCGGAATTGTTTCAAATTTGGTATATGAATTTCGTAATGGATACTACAGTCTAAGACAGAAAATTGTCTGTGCAGGTCCACGTCTTCGTATAGCCCTCATATAACGGTACCTCCCGATATTCGGTATGTTGATGATTTCAGCGACATTATTCACCGGAATTGTTTCAAATTTGTTATTTGAAGGTCGTAATGGATTCTACAGCCTAAGGCAGAAAATTGTCTGTACAGGTCCACGTTTTCGTGTAGCCCTCATATAGCGGTACCTCTCGATATTTGGTATTTTGATGAATGTATCGACATTATTCATCATAATTGTTTCGAATTCGGTATTTGAAGTTAGTAATGGATACTACAGCCTAAGACAGAAAATTGTCTATGCAGGTCCACATTTAGGTATAGCCTTCATATAACGATATTCGGTATTGTGATGAATTTATCGACATTATTCAAAGATTTTTGAATATAATGACTTACAAAGTTGCCTATGCATGCTGACGTCGCCCTATAGACCCTAATATAACCGCTTCATTCGGTGTTTTTAAGATTTAAACAGATTTTTTAACGGATTTTAATTATTTATTTATTTTTTTACTGTCAAATTCGCTCCAAATGGCGGAGGACATTTAAAATTTGGCCCGGCCAAACTGATAGCTTTTTTACTTGTTATTTATTTCAAAAATCTATCTTCAACTTTTCGTTCTTTCATGAAGAAAATATATTGGGCCCCTAGGTTAAAGTTCTTCAAATAAATTGCAGAATTTCTTTCTATCCGGTATTTTTTATATTTTATTTTTGTTTTATTAAGTACTCATATACCTTAATCTATAGCATTCTATTCCTTTATAACATCAACTCTGTTACTGATACGAACTTTCTTGGCCCTTCGAAAGGCATTCCATTTTTCTACTATAAAATATACGAAAATTCTTATTACAGCATAGGGAATTTCGACAACACTCAGAATCGATCCGCCCAAGAAAAGTCCCAATACTCCACCCATATATCCCACCATATCGAGATATGTATACTCCAAATGCGCAACATATTTTGTTAGGGTATTGCGATTATAGTAGACGTGAAAATAGATCTCGGGAATTGTGGCATTTGCTTCATAGCTAAAAATAAAATTTATTAAATTTATAATTACTTTTAATTTATTCAAATTATTTACTTGTGTATGGGCTGTATGTTAACAGCTGCCAAATAAACCAAGGACATGCAGTTATCAATACAATCGCATTCCATGCCTCTTCGTGTATCATTTATATATTGGTCCTGATGGCGACCCTTCAAATAATTGAAGACATCTGCAAAGTCAAAAAAATATATTTTTAACGGAAGTCATTAAACAATTTGTATATATGTATTTGTATCTAGTTATGCAAACCCACCTCTATGCCGGTACAGACAAGCCAAGTCCGCAACTTTACATTCCTCATGTCTGTATTCACCTGGAAATATATTTGATTTTTTTTTCTTTAAATCAAAATGTAATTGATAGTTTTGGTAGCCAAGTAGTCTACGCAAATGGTTAAATTTCCAAAGAAGTCTTATTTCTTAATGCCTAGCTTACTTACGCATTTTGGGAAAGAACAATGTCATCGAACAATTACAATGTTTCATTATAAATTTATGCTGACAGTGGGCCAGACAATTTAACTTGTTGTAAGGCAAACCATGAATCCGACCATATTTGCTTGATCTTTCATTCTATAAATGATACAAAATTTGCAATTATATTTCAGGTTATCAAAATCGTAATCGTAATGTTAATCTTACCCAAAATAAACAGTTGCGTTTCTCTGCATCGATGAGTCTCGCCTCCGAAGCAGTCTCGGTTAGAATTGGTGTTATCATAACATCGGCATGTGTATTGGCATAGAAAATATGATGCAATGGTTGACTCCATTCTTCGGCTTCTTTTATCATGAGCTATACGGAAATTGTTTTTTTTTTTTTCTTCATCCTTTCTTAAATTTCCCCTAAAATGTTTGACTTACCCTAGCTTTAAATGTCGTATAACTGTTAGGCCGAACATAACTCTCATTATATCTTAGGATAAAGGATAAACCGGATTCTTCGCCTGCGTAACGTACTCTCCAAGGGTAGTAGGCATCTTTTAACTAAAGAAGAATATTTAAACATATATTTATTAAAGCAATTGAAAAATGTCAAAATAATACAACAAGCAGTAAATTCCGTCTGGCCGAACTTTTTATACCCTCCGTCATTTGGAAGGAATTTGCAAATTTTCAAAAAAAAAAAAAAAAAACTTGACAAAATACTGATGAAGTCACAAAAATATCGAATATATATAGTTACCCTTATATTGGCGCCTACGAAGACGTGGTCCTGACTAGGCAATTTTCTACCACTGAGGCAGTACCCATTAGGAACATCTATTACGAAATTTTAAAAAGTTCCAGTGAATCACATCGCTTAAAACCTTAAAATACCGAATATTGGGAGGTGCCATTCTATGGGGGCTACACGAAGACGTGGACATATATAGGTAATTTTCTGTCACAGATGGTAGTAGTTTTTATACCCCACAGATTGTTACAGGGTATTATGGATAATATAATTCGTGATGAATTATGGATGTATGAGAATGATATTTCAACCAAAGCCCAATGATAATAATGGACACGTTCAGGAGGGCGAAAACCGAAAAACGTATGCCAAGTTCGGACATATGTTAAAATTCTGCTCACAGTTTTTTTGCACTGCGTCATGAAAAACAAGTAAAACAAGTAAGCAAAGGTTATAGTCGTGCGGGGCCGACCATGTGATACCCTACAACACTACCATATGTTAGGAGCCCCCTTATATGCAGATCGATTTTTGAAGATTTCGCTTTTGAAATTATGTCACGGAGCACTGACCTGACCAGGGACATCTGCCCAATATTTAAGCAGTCCGTCGTGCAGTTAGTTGCTGTAATGCTGGTATTTTTCACACAAAAGTAGTGGTCCATTCTACTCGCTGTCCTAAGCTCTAATTTCATGCGAGATTTCGTGTCCTTTGGTTTCTATTTGTGACCTTTATAACGGCTGCAAAATCAGGAACATTT